ATTTCTAATTTATTCTAATAAATATATAGTATAATCTTATCTATATAAATACTGCTATTTACGCTATACCTTACTACTAAAGCCTATATAAAATATATATAGCTAAGTCTAATAAAGAATTTAACTATAAGTATCTAAGTAAATTAATTATTAATTAATTATTAATTAATTTAGACTACTTTTTTTTTAAAGAGAGTAATATCTAGTACTATAAAAACTATAACTTTTAAGTTAAGTTTATAAAGGAAGACGTACTAGTGCTAAAATAAAGAAATAAGAAGAAGAAAAAGAAGAACTAATATAAGTTAGTCTTCTCTAGTCTATTCTTTACCTACTTCTTTTAGTATAAGCTAGATTAATTTATAATTAATTAGGAATTAATTTATACTAGTACGTTTTATATATAAAGAGCCTTTAGGTATTATATAGCTAAATAAAAATTACTTATATTATAAACTCTTAGTTTTTATTAATAAAGATTAGTTTTTATAAGAACTTTTTAGTAAGTATTCTAATTAATTATTAATTAATTTATAATATATTTATAGAAAATATACCTACTTTTATACTTCTTTTACTTATAGTTTTTATAAGGCGTTTAAATACTTTCTAAAAGTAAGATCTAATAGGTCTTTTTAAGGTTAACTTATCTCTTCTTTTACCTTTTATTTTTATTTAATACTTTATAGTAAGGTATATTAAATCTTTTATAAGAATAATCTTATTCTTTTTTCTTATTTAAAGAAATTAATTTTAGATTAATTCTTAATCTATTCTGTATACTACTTACTTTACCTACCTTTTTTATACTACTCTCTTCTATCTTAACCTTTCTATCTCTATTAGGTATAGGTAGTAGTATATTCTTTTTTATAAGCTACTTTTATATAACTTCTAGACTAGAAGTATTTACTAGTAAGGCTAAATAGATTAGGAATTAATTTATAAGACCTTTAACCTAGTTATTATAAATTTCTATAATACTATAGAAATATATAAGAGTATTATAGAACTATTTTATTAATATAGCACTAGCTAGTTAATTTTTAAGAGAATACTTAGAGTAATTCTTATATATATAATTATAAAAAAAACTATAATATAAGAACTTTTACTAAATTAATTAAGAAATAATTCTAGATTAAATTATATAAAAAAGAAGACTTATACTATATAATATAGTACTATTATTAATTTATATATAGTAGAAAAGTTCTCTAGTATAGATAATATAATAACCTTTACTATCTTAGAGGTAAAATACTATTATACTAAGAAAAGGTTAAAGAAGAGCTATATAGTATTAATAAGTAGGCTATATAAATTTAGAATTAATTCTTAATTAATTATTTCTTTCTTATATAAGTAAGAAGTATTTTATTTACTATTATAAAGGTAGTAGTAAAGAAAGAAATACTAAGTAAAAAAAAAATTATATTTTACTTATATCTAGTATAGAAATTTTTTTTAGGACTATACTTATTTAGGCTATAGTATAAAGTAAACCTTAATTAATTTAGAATTTATTTATACTTTAACTATTTTCTAGCTTACTATATATATAACTTACGTAGTTTTAGTACTACTTTAGCCTTTTTCTACTTTAGCTAAAACTACTATTTTTTATACTTAAATAAGGCTCTTTTATATTTTAGATAGAACTTCTTATACTTTTTATTTAGTACCTAAGAAGCTAAGCTTATATTAATTAGTAATTAATTTAGAATTAATTTAGATTTCTACTTACTTAAATAAAGGAAAAAAAGATATTACTTATATTAGTAAGCTTCTTAAAGGTAAGAATTAGTAAGATCTTACTTATACTACCTTTTAGGCTTTTATTATCTTTATATAGAAGTAAAATTACTATAATTTACTTAAGCTAAACTTATTAAAGCTTTCTAGTATATTCTCTTTATTATTTAAGATTTTAATAATTTTATAACTAAAGAATTTACAGCCCTCTAATTAATTTAAAAATAATATAAAAATAATTTATATTATACTTACTACTAAGCTCTCTACCTATATTTTAGAAGTACCTATTTTTAAGGCTAAGTATTTTATATAACTTATACTATACTTTATACTTATTATAAGCCTTCTATTTCTAAAGATTTTACTTATTTATATATATTACCTTAACTAGGTTAGAGTTAATTCTAGATTAATTAAAAATTAATTTATACTAACTTATATTTTAATACTTTAAAAAAAGGTATATCTAACTCTAGTATAGTATTTTTTAAAGGTAACCTACTTAATAGTATTAGAATAAGATTCTAGTATATTCTAAGTAGTATATAGTATATTACTATAGTAGAAGTTTAATCTAGCTATAATAATATAGCTCTTCTTATACTTAGCCTAATCTTTAATATTCTAGGACTTAGAAGTAGTTATAATTAAATAAGAATTAATTTAAAATCTATTTTAGTATAAAAGACTTATAAAAGATTAGATTATATAGTTCTATATATTTAGCTTAGCTCTTAGCTATTAAGAGAGCTCTTATATACCTTTATATAAATTCTTTAATATATAAAGCTTAGAGAATAACTCTATTAATACTATAAAGAAAGTAGATTTAATAAAACTATATATAGAAGCTAAGCTAGTCTTACTAGATATAATAATTCTTATTTACTAAAGAAAGGTATTACCTAAAGCCTAATTAAATAGGTAAATAAATTGTTAATTAATCTAGAATTAATTTAATATACTAGCTATCTACTTTATATTTATATTAATAGTTACACTAATATAGCTTATATTATAAAGATATAACTACTTAAACTTAACTTTAGTAAGCTTTTCTACTACTTTAAAGAATATAGTAAATACTCTTTTATATATCTTTAAAGTTTATATATTTATAATAATTCTGCTGTATAAAGACTAGAATTAATTTAGAATTAATTATAAATAGATTAATTTTAGCTTACTCTTCCTATAATCTTTTAAAAATAAGGTAAATAATACTTTAAACTAGCTATCTTTAAACTTTTTAAATAATATATTAATTTAAAATATATTCTACTTTATAAGTAACTAAGCTTAGTTTTTAAAAATATAGATAATAATATCTTTAGATATTATAGAGAGAACTTATTAGATATAGGCCTTATTAATTTAGAATTAATTTATAATTTATTTACTTTTTACTTACTATATTAGGGTTTTAGTAGTTTATCTTTTACTTAAATATAATACCTTTAAGTCTACTTTTATATAGAAATATAAGAAGCTACTTATAGTAAATAAGTTTTATAATATAGTTCTTATTTATAAATACTATATAAAGCTCTTTAATTAAGTAATACCTATACTAGGTAGAATACCCTAGAAAAGAAAAAGAAAAGAGAAATATAGCTAAAATAAGATTAGAATTAGTTTTAAATTAATTTAAATCTTATATACTTTAAGTAATACTAGAGTATAGTATAAGCTATAAGATATAGATAATTATATCTATATTATTAATATTTATAAGCTATAGTAGAGATAGCATATATATATATATACTAGTTAATACTAGTATTATATATAGGACTTATTTAGTATTAACTAAAATAATAATATTAAAGATAATACTATAGCTTTACTTTACTATCTTACTTTAACCTTAGATATAATTAATGCCTAAATTAACTTAGAATTAATTTAGAATTAATTATTTAGAAGAAGTAGTAACTTATACTATACTTATTTAATTATAAGTATATTAGCTTAACTATACTATAATACTTCTAAGAAGGTATAGTAAAACTATTAAAAAGTATTTAAAGGTACTTTATATTAATAAGTATTAGAATATTTTAGATCTAGTGCTTCTTTATAATACCTTATACCTAGGCCTTATAGCTTATAAGCTAGTAAAGGAGACTTATAAAAGGCTATAATTAATTTAGAATTAATTTTAAACTTATTTACTTAAGACTTACTACTATTCTTAATATTCTTAGTCTAGAGCTATAAGATAGTTTTAAAGAGCTATAATACCTAGCTATAAACTACTTATAGAAAGTATTAAAGTATATCTTTACTATATATTTATTTTTATTAAGTTTAAGTTATTTAATTAAGCTTTTATACTAGTATAGCCTTTTCTATAGCTTATTATTAACTTTAGTATAAGTAATAGAGTAAAATTTATTTTAAATAAATTTATAATACTTTATACTAAAATACTAAAATACCTAGTAAAAGGTATAAGTATTAAAGAAAAGGTAAAAGGTATTTTTCTTTCTAACTTTACTAGCTTTAAAGTATTAAAACTAAAGCTAATAAATTAGCTTTAAATTAATTTAAAATTTATTTTAATATACTTATATACTTTATATATTTTAGTAGCTCCTTCTACCTAAAGCTCTATATATATATCTCTTTTAACTAAATAATATATATAAAGCCTACTATATCTATCTAAGAATATTATAGAACTACTATAGTAAACTTAATAGTATCTACTTTAAGGGTATTACTATTTCTATTACTAATAGTAATTATAAAATATTCTTAGTCTATATTAAATTAATCTAGAATTAATTATTAAATAATTCTAAATTAACTTTTAAATTATTAATTAATATACTTATATATTCTTTTATATTTTTAACTTCTTTAGGTAAATTAAGAGTACTATTATTAAAACCTTCTTTTAGTAGCTTAACTTTAGTAAAATTAGGTTTAAAGATATCCTAATTAATAAGCTTAGAGTTAATATTAATAAGTAAAAAAGGTATATTTATAGTAAGAATACTAAAAGTCTTAGTTAATTAATTATAAATTAAGTTAGAATTAATTTAATATTTTTTTAAAATTACTTATAGGTGCTAATTAAACTAAAATCTTACACCCTTATATAATAGATAAGACCTCCCTATTATAAAAGGCAGGGCTACCTATTGTAGTTAGGGCATGCTATGTCTTGGCGCGCCCTTGGTCAGATTAGCTGCCACCTTGCTGGCCTAGCTCACTTCGAGCTGCTTCTGATCTGCCTCACTTTTACAAAAGAAGTCTCGCCAAATTGGAGCATGCTAGGTAACCTGTTCTTGTTGTTAATATATGCTATTAGCACAGCTGTGCGGATTGGAACTTGTTTTGATTTGAACGCAACCCGATTACCCAAAGCATTACTCAATAACACAATGTGCTTTTATTCTAGATTCTCATCCATAGTTTGTCTCCTACCTCAGCCTCAGCTTTCAAATCTCCATAACAACACTCGAGGTGTCTTGTCCAATGTATTTCCCATCGCCGCTTCCGAAAATTCTAACTCAGATGAATGCTTGACCTCACACAGCTAGTCATCTCGGTTAGCATAAGCATTTGGTGAAGTGAAGCAAGATGTAGGTGTTATACATACTGCTCATCGAACTCTCAAGCTCAAAGATTGCTGAATCCGATGCCCTTGTTGTTTTTCCTCCCTTCTGACGGCCACGGGCTCGACGATTAGTGCAACATCATAACACCGTAGTTGCAGGTGAATTGAGTTAGAATCTGTTTGCAAGGCTTTTGGACCAAGTTAATGTGTTCTTCTTAATCAACCGCCAGTTTCTAATTTTGTCATTGTGTGGCTCACTCAGTACAGTTCAGTAAGAACCATCCAACCCGGTTTAGGCTGGAGGAGTTCATTGTTTTGGGATCAACACAAGCTCACAATGCTTAACTGACTTACCTTCCAGAGTATTGTGAACTTTAGTGACCATCAACAATGCTGTGTACAGTGTCGCGTACGAGCTCTATAAGATACTCCACGTCTCAAAGACAAACGTCTTCTCCACCGAACACGACAAGAAAGGATCGTTCTCAACTTAAATATCATGTGCGAGAAATGCGCCAAGATTCCTGCTGCTGATGCTGAGCAAGCTGTTCAGAATGTTCGCAAAGCCTTCAGACGCCGTAAAGAGTTAATCAACGCCATATACAACCTATGCGATAGAGCAGAGGACCAATATCGCTCAATTGGTATATCTTACCACTCTACTCAGCAGGGTGCACGGCACCCAGACCACTTCCCCGCCGAGCGTCTGAACCGATTGAAGCAAGCCTTTGAAATATCTAGCATCGAAGAGTATGATGCGGTCTTTGCACATTGGAAGAAGATAGTTGACGATCTGACTCACATCAGCCGAACGCATTTTAGGCGTAGTGGCACCGCGGAAGAACTGTGGCATCGTCTCAACATTGAACTTGAACCTGCATTCGACAAGACATATCAAGACTACATAAGAGCTCAAGATGGGTTACAAGATCTCAACAAGGATGTGAACGAGTTGCTGAATGTCAGCATACGGTTCAACTACACGGATAACATGGGTCTGCGATATATGTGGTGTGACCCGACGGGTACTGATCATACTCCACGCCGTCAGGGCCAAGAGTGGGCGACGTATTGTGCTTGGATCTCGAGTCTGCCCGAGACGCAGCGTTCGGTTGGATCAAGGACGGTTGATGAGATTGCGTTGGAGCTTCTCTACGCTTCGCCAGACGAAATTATCGATGAGTAAGTCATATGTACCGCGGTCGATTGTACTTGTGTCTTGAGCAAAAGTCCCTTACTGATCGGGTCTATTACAAGCACTACCCGTGGGAAGTCCAGAAGATATGGTTCCTGACGGACACGACGGTGCATAGGCGACAGTGGGATATTTGCAGAGATGTCACTATCAAAAAGGTATTTCCAATGGAAGTGGGTAACAAGGGCGATGAATGTTCGCAAAATATATTTTGAGCATTGGAAATACTCCGTCGCTCATTATGAATCTTCTGAGAAAGAATGACTTATTTATTCAGCAGTCAACTCAAGTTATCCCTTCATAGACGAGAATTTATTGTTATTATTGACGAGTCAAAGAATGAACGAAATGTGACTGATCTGATAGAACTACAACATGAGGCGACCGAATAACAGAGAAATGTCCCATAATTCATGTTGTACCAACCGTGAGAGTCCAACAGAGAACAATCGAAAACTTGAAACCGAATGCCGGGAACTCGTTAGACACATTGTTGAACATGAAATCCTCAGGAGCAATAACGACAGGTATCTCAGAGGCGCTAACCTACTCCCGTATGTTTGGAGTACGCAGCGGTCCTTGGAGATGCAACGAAAGTAGATGATCGAAACAACAAAACAATCGGACGTATATAATAAGAGCCAGCCCTGCGTATGTTGCAGAGCGATCTGGTCTCCCCTACGTTATTCGCCTCGCATGGCGCTCTCGAAATATACCTCAATCATATATCGATGAGTCTCGTCCACCATGCCAACATCAAGTACTTTGACGTTGTGCTCCACTGCGTACGCCTTTCCATAGTTCACGCGAGATGCAGGATCGAGTGTTCTGCCGTCGGTGGGCGTGACACGGATGGGATACTTGTTGAGACTTTCGCCGGGGATAGTGCTAGGAGCTGTAGAAGATGTGTAAATGATGCCGTGGTCTTTCATGACAAGACCTGGTTTGGTGGCACCACTGCCTCGGTACGTCTGTATGGGGCTGAGAAAGTTAGTCAGTTAAGCGTTCAAGTGTTGAGCAGTGATGTAGAAGTTTGGAGGGACGGCCCACATGCACTGGCTGAATGTGCCCTTGTTTCGAACTACCACGAAGCGTCTTATCTCGGAGTAGGCACTTTCATTCAACCACACTGTGCTAAAGTGTGTTGAGTTGCGTGTTTTACCTGGGTTTGCTACCCCAGCGGGTTCGGTCCAAAGCATCATAAAGACCTTTATAGACAGTCAGAGAGGAGAGCATATGTCGTCTCGGCAATATCAACCCAGGAGCATGACTGACCCTTCCAGGAACAAAGAAAAGATGATGAGTGTGTGTCGCGACTCGACGATACCCTAGACAATCAGTACTCGGAGACTCAGAGGTAGCATAGACTCTTACGTAGATCTAGTGACTCCGTCTCATTTCTAACATCACCAGTCTGAATGAAACGCCTAGCCAGGTGGTGCAGATTAGCTTGTACCTCTTCGGGGAGCGAAGCTACCGGTTTCCGTCTCGTGTGCACAGCTTGCCCAGCCCCTTCAGTGGAAGGAGGAGCTGGGCCGACAACGGGACGAGAAGACGTTGCTCCAGTTGTGTAGTTTGGCTGGGTGGGTTGTACTAATAGAGGTCTCGGGACTTGTTGTGGGATTGGAGGGTTGGACGGAGTTGTCCGAGGATCTCTATTTCCAATAGCCAGATTATTAGCTACTTTCCCAGAAATATAAAAGATCTTGTTCATGGTACTGACCTAGGGTCTCTAGTAGGTGGTGGTTGACCGGCCGAAGCAGGAGGTCCTGACCAGAGGGTCTCCTGTATGACACCATCATCTGCGTAAACGTACATGTAATGTCGATTATGAGCTGAGGACCAAGCCCAAGGCGAGTTCGTTGGCATTCTTACATGCTGGCAGAGACGTATTGATCTCCGACCAAAGTATGGACTTGGGCCTGACGGCGTATAAAGCCTTGTGAGGGGTAACGGATAGAGTCGGGCTCAAGGCAGAGCCTCGTCAAGTGTCTGATGCGCTTTAGCGCCTGAAGCGATTGCAAACATCTGCATGTAAACAGTATGCGCCTTATGCATCAGCACGAATGTGATGGTGTAGCGCGACAAGGACCCGAGCCGGGAAGTGGGGTAAAGTGGGGTGCGCTAATCGAGCGTTCAAGTAGCGACCCAAGCGCAGCCGAGTCATTCTTTGACCGTTCTCGCATTGCTGGTTCCCTCCAGTACAACTTCTTGTAGATCATGCTGCTGTGATGATAAAAGGATAAGACACGATATCGCGATATCACATGCTTACGCTCGAGAACGCAAATTAGAGATCAATGGTAGCTCACCCAGTCACTCATATTCACAGGTGGTTTTGACGTATTTAATTAGGCCGGATGTGCAACATACGGCAATTCTGACCATCTTGTAGATAATTATCATTAGGAAGATCAGAAGGTACGACTATAGTATACGTACAGCTCTACGCCCATGTCTTCAGCCACCTCAGCAAACAAGACCAGTGTCTGCCACGAAGGCTACGAAAGAACTATGTTGGCTCCAAAGGACTTTTCAGTTTCTCCATTACCGCCCAAAGGAATACTCAAGAAACCAACGGTGCACTTTCCAGAAGAACTATGCGAACTCGAAACCGACAGCGTACCGCCCTGTTCACCTTCACTACGTCGAAGTGTCGCACCCCAAAGTCCACCTCTCGAAACTTCACAAAGGCTGAATCGAGTACCCCCACCCCCATTGCCACCTCCTCCTAGAAGGGCCTCTCCCCCTCCGCCACCCCCGCCTCCACCAACCGATGCACCGCGACCACCGAGCTTTTGGAATCCAGAAATCGAAAACGACAAGTACTTAAACAAAGCGGCTTTGGCATTATACACCAGATTCATAGACGAACTTTCAGATTTTGTCACTATACAAGGAGTAGTCATGAAGAAGCGTATTGCAGTTCAGGAGAAGCGTCAAGAGATGAAGAGATTGAGAGAGGAAGTTTCGCAATCAGACATCTTGCTCATTGATTATCTTCGAAAATGCATGGCGAATGGCATTCCGTCGAATGATCTGACTTTGATCACTTTATTCGAAGCATCACAAGCCGCGCGCGACCTAGTTGGACCTGCAGAGGCAGAATACGAACCATTGGAGGTCGAGTTGGGCGCAGGGGAGCACAGGCTAGAGGAACAATATCGTGATATAGAAGAGATCTTCGAAAGTTCTTTTAGACTGAGTCCTTCCTCGCTGGTCCGACAAGAGATGCCAACCACAGTCGAATACGAAACGTCTACTGCATCTTTGGCATCATCTAATGTAGGACAAGCTTCACTGGAGCTCGGAGATTCCTCGTTTCTGCATGGATCTCTTGTCGACGACCGCGTCGGTATTGGCCAGTTGCCCATTCCACCAGATTATAGCGACAATGAGATTCGAGGGTCACAAGAGGTACAGAAGCGTAAACCCCTTCCATTGTCTTCAGATACACCAAGTCGCCCATCACAACGTAATAGCAATGCCACAATGGATGATCAATCGCGCTCAGAGGTTCCCGCAGAGCTCCTCGGCATCGCAGGTGCTGAAGATATGGACGAAAGGCACTTTACAGACACTGAGACACGGAACCGAAGAATATCCCAAAGCCTGAAAGGGGTGATTGTTGATTGTCTGGCTGATCCGCTCGATAGTCCTGAATCTCTTCCGGACGATTTCCCACTGGATCTAGGGCTAAATGAAGGAGAGATCTTGCTCCTTCTCGGAGATGACGATGACACCCGATTGACGTTGAGCAACTACTTGATGTGTTTTGCGAATACTCGAGATCGAGTAAATCGGTGGATGCTACATCAGCTTCGCATATCGCGTCGGGAAACCTACGCCTTACGAAGATCAGTAATGCTTTGCTCGCCCCGTATCCTAGACTGGGCTATTCTGGCGATGAGCCAATGGTCCGAGGACGAACTTGCACAAAACATTGGGTACTCGGTCGACGATGAAAGCGATGATTCAGCGATCCTGGAGTTTATGAACCCCCCTTACCTGCAAGGTATATCTTCTTCGCTTCAGCATAGAGTCCGTCAAAAATATCAACCTGCTCCTTTTTCGACAGCAGCCCTGGCACCTACAGAAAGCGATCTTCATGATAGATCTCAATCGACTCGACCCAACACCGAGACTACTAGCAATGTTTCTCCAACCTAATACTATTTTCGCGTTTTTCGAGAAGAGAACAAGTAGCATATGCTTTCTCTGCAACTTCACTAGCTTGCTAAGAGTTGCATGCAGCGACTCAGGTAGCGAGAGGCTTTCGGCTGTAGCAATACGTACCACATAATTTGTAAGGTCTCTGCAACCAAAACTACTCTATTGCCAAGTCTTGATTTAACTCGTCAGCCTTCATGCCCCGGTCAAGCCTGAACCGGTCGATGTAGCGAGATGCATGTAACCTGCAAGCTTCATGCAAGCACGAGGGTCATGTGGTGAAGGACCTCCCGCATATCTTGATACCAATCATGACTTCGAACAAGAGCCTCATTCGTTCTCGACCGTGTTATTGAACTACAACAACAGTGGCCCTAAGTTATGCGACGTGTCGTCGGTGGCTCGTACTAAGCGCTGACACGGATATTATATCCGGATATCCATCCAATAGGCCTTTCTGTAGGCTACATTACCACCCAACAAGTCAACGAGAGGGTTATCATGGAGTCATATCACAACGTGTGAGTCTTTGAATATAAAACGGCCGTGTACTATCACATGCTTTTGTTATTTGATATGATTGGAGACGGAGGATGTGGGTCCTCGGCGCGTACCGCCGATTGACGATGCCCCTGTGGAAGACTGTTAAACTGGCCGGGGCGTATACCCTTTTAGGGAAATGGTCGGGTTCGCATCTTCAGGCGAGTATCATGCATGCCAGAGGCGATATTAAAAAGTAGTCCACTAGACATCGTTGGAGTGGATTTGGAGCAACCAATGCTTTGTTAGTTATTGTGGGATCCAGGGATCTATCTCGTAGAGTCTATGCATATGAGGAGCAATACTACAAAATGAGAGCAACTTGTCTCCGCGTTTGGCGCTGTCCAGTACACATGCGGTTGACGTCATTTCAGTTGCCCCGGACTACCCGTTCCGGCTCGGATACCGTTGACCCGGCTAGATGGTGCCGCGATATATTGCAAGGCAGTCAGAACGCGATCATCCGACAAACAAGTGCAATTGAGTTGCCTCATCGCGCTGGAGTAGTGTTCTGACGTTGGTTGGAATAGACTCTTACGACACATGTAGATCGGCTGAACCCACATACCCCACATGTCCCACAGACTCCACACGAGCCCCACTACGGAAGCTACAGATGCGCGGCATCGCACTAACACCCGCTTAGTGGGTTTTTCAATCTTTCGATATACAAGTCAGGACCCGATTGGTAAAGCTGAGAAGCATGATCGTTCTGTGTTAAACACCTGATTGACAATAATTAATCGAACTATGTTGGTGGCGCCATATTTTCGTAGGATCGTGTTGCTGTCGGTAGTACATATTGCTAGCCAATGCAGAGACAGGTACTCAGTCACATGAACATGTCTTTCATTATCACATATGACATGTCGAAGAGCGTAAATGAAAAGCCCGTTAGATACATCAAGTGTGGCGTATCTGACATAGATGTCAAGTAACCATAAGACTAGCGTACAAAACGCCATTCCTGAATTCGACTATGGTGGGTTCGTCAATGCTCGCGATGAAGAACCATGCATCCCAAGTTGAGACCTGAAATAATGAAGAACGGAAGTCCATCAAGAGAGGAATAAACATTACTTTGTCGAAAATATACACAGAACTCTCCATGATCTCGTTTAGTCCAATCGTTTGGTCGCTGTTGAACACATCGAGGTTCATATCGAGATGGTAAGAACTGTATTCGGGTTCCAATCGTGATGGTTACCAAGGAGTTTCAGTTGTGACCGGTGCAACCGAATTATATGTATGTGGCTGAGTATATGTTACCGTGAAAAAATGGGCTTAGTTGTGATTGTACTGCGGCCCTCGAGTAGCCGGTGGCAAGCCCATGTGGAATGGAATTCCCCAGTGGGCGTAGAATTGAGACAGAAATGTATGTTCCCAGAGTGGGTTAACCCTGCCAAAGTCTTCGACCTTCACGTTGTGTTCGATAGTATAGACCTTGACGAAATTTACTCGGGAGAGCGGATCCATCCTGTTATAAGGTCGACTTGCCTCAACGTGGATCGGAGTACCCATGCCTAACTCTCCGATACGAGGCTGCTCCGAAGGCAACGGCTGCGGTGGCTGATTTCCAGTGAACATTATGGCATGGTGGTATTTCTCCTTGTTTTGAGGCACACCTCTATTTCCGTAGGTTTGTATTGATCTGAGACTGTCAACTTCGTGCATCGCAATAAGGCGACAGTCATTTACTTACAGGCAGGTACTACAGTCATGACCTTCGCGCACCACAACAAACCACCTGATCTTACAAAATATGTTCTCGTTTGGAAAGCGCGGTGTGGTGGCAATAGTCATATTTTGATGTACATCGCCGGCAAGTTCTGGCCATAAAACCCTGAAAATCACTCCTTTCTTGAAGTATTTGTAACCAGGTCTCCGAATGCAAAAGCCTTGGAGCATGTCAACTACAACTTTAAAAAAGACATACAACGTCAACTCACTCTCGTCAAGCCCCTCGGCCTCTCCCGGTGTTTCCCTGAGTCTGAAGCGTGGTGTTATGTTGAACTGCTGCAGGTCCGCAGGCGTTGTTTGAGCATTTAGCACCTCTACATTGCGTGCCACCTTTTGGAGTCTCTCCGTATCACTTGGTACAATGCCTGTTGCAGCTGGTAATATCGTGGAATCGACTCGGCCATGATTTGACGTCGGCACGACGGCAGCCGTAGGTGTATGACTAGTATAGTCAGTGACATCTTGTCTTGATAAATAGACCAATATTATAATTCATACCTTGTTTCAGGTGGTGGGACGCCGGTGTCGTCTGCATACACACAAGTGTTGCTATCTGGGTCGTAGTAGTAGTAGGTCTTGCGAACTTGGTCGAATTCCCACGTTGTGAAACCCATCGGAGCGTCACGAAGTCAGGCTCGTACGCCGTCGCAATACCAACTATATACCCCGACATTGAGTGCATCTGGACATGTGACGCGGCTCAAAAGCGGGGTCTCAGGCCTATAGTATGGCGATAGAGATCGTAACGCAGATGACCTGGCAATCTGTGTTCGCGCTTGCGAGTGCTTCAATGTGGTATGAGCTTATGCATAAGCCACTGCATTAAGGTATCCACTATTACTTGGCACAGTGGCTTCAGTCGATCGTTACAGCTGAGCTGTTCTTTACTCACACGATAATGCAGCAGAGCTCGCCTATCGAACTGTCTTCTCACTCATGGCCTCTGCAAGAATCATTGCTTATCTCAAGGTAATGCCATCATCCACCTCGTTGCGAAGTCGGTCTCGCTCATCACCGTCAGTGCGCGGGAGAGCTCCGAAAGAGCCGCGAATCGATGTCGCGAAACATCTCTGGAAGATTCTCACGTTCCCAAGTCAACTAAGATAGAAGATTTGCATGCTTCTTACAAAGGATATTCACCATCATCCGTAATATCCGATCAACTCGACCCAAACTCCGGCAACTTCAGAGATAGTCTGCGATCTCCGTCACTAGCTCGCCCATCGATCCATTTCAAGGACCAAATCAAGTCTCTCAGAGACATCGTCTTCATAACCCGGCAGCATGTCCGGGCAGAGAAAATACGCTGTGGACAACAAGAGGACCTCTTGATCAGCACGATGGACAGATTTATTGATCTTAGCAAATCCTGTACACTCTCAGGATTCTCAACACAAATGGCAGAATCATTAAATCTTCTATCCCAGAACTTACGAGCCACAAAGGATGAGCTCACTCTAAGACGTCAGAGAGCTACGGCATTGGAGGACATTCTATATGTTCAAGAGTCTCAACTTTACAGGTTTGATGAAGATGTCTACCGAGATTCTGGCGAGGAGAACTCGAGGCGAAACGAAAGCCTTGTTGAATGTCAATTACCTCCAGACTCCGTGTACACAACCATGCCAACCTGCGCTACTCCTGATGAACGCACGTCGCTTCGAAATGAGCTCTACTCTTGTATGGGAGACTTACGTATTCATCTCGAACGGCTGAACACTTTCGAGCACTATTTACAACATGAACTTGGTGAACGAGAGCTCCTGCGAGCAGCCGATGGTGCCGAGATGTCAAGCGATGCAGACTTTTTTGAGGAACGCAGAGCGGAACAAAGTCAAATACAAAAAGATCTGGATATGGCACGGGTGAGTGTAGAACGACTGAAAAAGAAGTGCCACGAACAGGGAATCGACTTTGAAGAGCCTATATTGCCTAAACAGCTATACAGGATCGACATCAAAAGCCCAAGCACTTCATCTGAACAATCAATCGGATGTAATCAGGTACAGCCCAGCTCATCAAGGATTATCAACACATTTTTCAGTGCTCAAGAGCGTGTCAGAAACTGGTTAAAGGAACCAACGGGGTCAATTAAACTGTATCAGGATGAGGTGCAGCTAGATTCGCAATCAAGACTAGAACCAGAATCAGCAACAGAATCATGGATTGCAGTACGAAGTGGACCTTCGACGCGGCGTCCATCAGAAACAAGGTCGCTTGACAGACTCGGGTCAGTAACTCATACGGTGCCAGAATGGACTACTGGACCTTTGCCTGGATCGTCACAGCTTGAAGCACTGCTACTGGAGTCGACTTCAACACCTCTAGGAAAGTATGTTCACCAACATGGAACAGAGTCTGTGTATTAGAGTGACACGCAATGCATTAGTTCTCTTACACGTCCCAGTACCCATCCACCGCATGTACACGATCAGATGAACACGTGGACTCCTATTGGACCACACAAGATTGTCCACATCTAACTACATGCAATCAGTTTAGTTACAAAATCACCAGGGCTTAGTAATGTTTCTTAAGCTGTATATCCAGACTCCGGCTTGATCCAATCTATGTGTTATGCGCCCACCGATTGCTTCACTTTTCGAACGCCGACCTCGTGCCTTGCGGTCATACTATCAGGGAGATTATTTCTCCATCAAGGTCAATACGTCACCAATCGAAAAAGCATCTAGGAGGTCAACATTGCACCAACAAAATTCTCAGCCTGGTTGCGGCAGCTTTGTTGTAGCTATTGTTTCAGCCCTGCAGCTGTCAATATTTACGTTACTGTAACCGAGATTGCTCAATCATGACACTGCTCTCACTAATCTTAACGGCTAGATACCTGTCACTCCCAGAGCGAGTTCTCCAAACACTTGAAACATCAATCGTAAATATAGAATTACTCAGCTTACCTGCAGCTGACCTTCAAAAGATTGCCTAATAAGGTTCGTGCAGTGCTTCTCAATATGGATCAGATGAGCTTACCTGCTCGTCGTTCTCATGATTCAGCCGGATAAGGTTACGGGGATTGCGGAAACGGCCAATGCTTATCTAGGCAACTTATCGACCCGAAACAAGCCTCCGGGTTGATGCATGTTGGATTCCATATGTCACCTTCCCATCTTCGGCATGCCGAGATTGAATGGACGAGTAATCTTCCCGTGTATTCGCATTCCTCCACGCGTCGATAAGCCGGAGTCTGTCGAGGCAAGACAAGACGATGTTTACGTCGGTTAATCGAGAGATTATCTCACGTGAATTGCTCCAAAGACACAGATGCAGGCCTATCTAAGTGACCGTATATACGACAAGGTACCGCAAGGCTGGGTTTATATCGGGTCTCTGAGTATCTAACTAGAGCTTAACGATTGCCTTACCGATGAAGATTTATCGCGTCGTGAACTCTACGCCGACCTCTCTAAGAACATGGGAATCATATGTGCAACTTCACAAATCTTGTTGTCTACAGGCTGTACGTTGTGGTCGGGCAAGGTTGTCAACAGACGAGATAGCATGGGGCGGATCGACCTTCAATCGGGTTCATTTCCGACCGAATCGCATTGCAACGCCGACGTTCAGAGCCGCGTGCTTGTCTCGGCCCTCGTCATCTTTGCAGAATCCTACGATGAGGCATTGCGCTCGCATGCCTACGTAGATGATACGCCTGCATAATTGAACCTAGGCGCACATGATACGCGATTTACCACCGATCTATTGAGTCATATATTCGACTAGCGCGGGGGCATACCCCCTATTGTCGATTAAAGGCAAGTCTAATTCCTACTGCCACACCATTACAATATCGTGGGTACTGAGATTGGCTGAGGGTGAAATCAAGGGACGATGATTCGCTCCTTGCTTACCGAAGGCTGATTACCGAGGAAGTGGCACATGCAAGCCCCCGTTACTGCCTTGCCACTCCAGTCGTACATCCTGAAATGAGACTCGTCCTTTCTTGCCTTTTCCGCTTATTTGTATTTTCCATCACTGAGCTCCTTTTGTTGGCATTATTGGCACTAACAAGTTGTCTTGGATGCCCGATACTGTCCACTCAGCAGCGAGGTCCTCTCAAGGCGTGGGTATGTTCGTTGTATGGTATCTTTGGTATGTGTTCGTCCTTGGAGATATGTCTTCCCTCTCAACCCGTTGGCTTGGAGGACTGAGGGTTGCGTCAAACGCGGGGTAACATTCTGAGGACCTGCGGGAAAGCATGCCTTGTCAACCACATCGTGGCATAACGTTGTTTTGGCCAATGACCTTGTCTTGAAGCCAACATCTAGCTCATGCCGTGAGTTCAGGAGCATGATGCTGCACGATACAAGCATGAATTATCGTACAAGGATTGTATCTCGAGCTGTTGAGTTGAGATTTTATAGGTCCAAGCGAACAGGTGCGAATGAGGAGAGCGTACCTGTGCATATGTGTGACTGACGCGCTGGCTATAGGCTGAGTTGGTATTCAACTCTGCCCTAGATCCCTTCTGGTGGCGACAACGAAGCACAAGGCCGCAGTAGTACCATGTGCCAAAGACAGCCTGCAGAACAGTGTACTGCATGGAGCAAATGAATGCGTCGTCCCTGGAAAAGAAACTGAGACCAGGTGAACCCAAAGCAGATGACAGTAGTAACAAATAAAAATAATCCCCGACGGTGTTATTGATCTGCCTCCAATAGTCGTCTCAATTATCCACTGCTGTCAGGGTACAGACAGAGATAATCCTATCAGGATCTATCCAGGATTGGCAGATCCAGAAGTGAAGCCTGAATTGTATAGAAAAAATTCCCGTGGATCCGGGATAAGACCAAAGCTTAATGATGTAACTTCCTGACTTCCAAACAATTTCTTAGCCTCCTAAATTGGCTCGCTTGTATTCAAAGTGATATCCTGTCTCATCGGCTGGGTTCCAGCGGTGGCAGAAAAACATGTATTCAAATGACATGAGAAGACGATATCCAGGCATGTATCAAAATCGCCAACTCCAGAGAATTTCTCGCACCTTGAAGGAACAGTCCAATTAAAGGTCAAAGTCGTACCAACACTAGCGACATAAACTAATCACACAAATCGTCAGAAAAAGGACTGGACATGCGTATCGGAAGTTTACCACTGGCAGAGAATAGGAAATCCTGAGAGCTACGGCTGAACTTGTTGTGCTGGATTGCTAGGAAATGGAGAAACGGGCATGAGGTTTGGCCCCATCGCGTATATATACCAGCTCGAGTGAGTGGTGGGATGGGGCATCTGCGCAAGGTTAATGGAGACAATGGCCAAGTGTACGATTGCTGTAGTCCGCAAGGATGTGGACGCGACGATAGCGATCCGTGGTATAGGTCAAGACTCGACACGTCGTGGTCGACATGATCTATCGAGGTGGTAGCAGTTTCTTCACGGCCATACCCCGACTTTTCTACCCTTTCTAGGAACATGGTTTGTTCTGAGGTGTTTGGGGGGGGAGTTTCCACTTCCAACAAGGAATCGTTCATGTTCGTCCCAAGTGGTAGTAGGACAAGGTCATCATCATCTGTGGCCTTTTGTTCCGGGATGGTTTGAACGCTCTCCTTGATTCCTCCAGTAGTGCATCGCTGTCCAGAGGTGTTGTTGATATCAGTTTTACAAACCGATGCCAAACTCTGTACTTCATGATCCTGTTGTGGTCCACATTGCGAAGAGGAGGAGTGAATTGTCGTCATGGAGTGACAATCTCTGATTGATAATGATCGATGAGTGCTAGTTGGAACGGTAGAAATAGAATGAGTAGCTTCATCGGCATCATCGTTGTTTTGTGCCAGGGAGACAACACATCGGAATCCAGATGAAGGTTTCACCTCTGGTTGCACACATGATTCGGTTGTTTTGCCATGCGCTGCACCTGGTGACCCCGCTGTAGAACGGTGAAATGCTGATTGCAAATTTTCTACGTTCATAGTCTCAGACACAGTCATGTTTCGATAATCAGTGAGGCTATGTGTGATGGTGGAGTCGCCGGTATGGAAGGCTGGTCCATCTAGTAAGCCGACGCCCCAGTTCTCTTTCAGTGTGTCCCACCAGGCTTGATCACTCAGATCGGTTGGCTCTCCGATTGCTTTAAGGTGTACTTTCTGGAGAGGCGAACAAGATAGCATGTGCAGAAGCCATGCATCAATGCGCTCCCTTTTTTCAATCCAATTAACTTCTGACGGAGTAAGATCAATTTCGTCGCTTTGTTTGGATGAGTCATTAATGTTAGGGATGCCCTGGCGCAAGCTCATGTGTTCAGATGTGAACCCCGACTGATTGGCCGGTAGAAAACCTGAGACTGAAGGCGTCCTTAAATCGGCATCCCTAATCATATCCGAAAAATTCGTATCCTCCAGGCTCCCAACTGCAAAACGCGTCAAACACTCCATCTCGGAGTTCAGTGCATCGTGTTGGGGTGCCGTGTTTGGCATAGAGATACTGCCAGGTAATCGATCCACAAACTTTGTCTCCTTTTGCGTGTACGTCCATTCCAGGCGGTTGTATAACTCCTCGGCCTCATCGTATTCAGCTTCAAATAACGCAAGGGTATCTCTTGAGATAGATGCTTGGTCGAATGCAACCTGAATGCCGGGTGGCAGTTCGATAGGTAACGTATGAAGATAATGGCGAAATTTATCTACGGCGGATCCGTACTTGGATCCAGTCTCTTCTCGTAGTTTACGGAGATTCATCCGCTTTGGCTGTAGACGAAACCGGCAGCCAGTGTATTCATCTCGTGCTTCTCGTAGTTCTTCTTGTTCATTTTCAAGAGATTCCTTGTGAGCACCAACATAGGCCGCCGAGTCTGTCTTGAATGTCCCGTTTGCAAATACAGGCGGTGGAGGGGGTGGTACGAACGATGCCGGTGGTGGAGGTGGTAGGAAATATGGATATGGTGGTAGAGGCGGCAAAGGTGATGATGATACCGGAGGAATTTGATCCGCAGTTCGACTCGCCATGCCACTATTCGAGTTTGTTCTATGATCAGTGGAAGATTTCTGCGTGACGGGAGAAAAGGGGTCAGGCGAAGAAGAAGATGATGATGGTGATAGAGGATTCAATAGATGCGATGCCGGGCAACTTGAGTGATAGGACAGGAGGTTCGTGGCGTCCCATGGCACTGGGATTGTGTCAGCGTCAAGCCCTCAGAACAAACATCTACCAAGCACACCATGATTCGTCGGGACAACCACAGGGCTCCAAATTGAAGCTTCTGCGTGCATAGAAGGCATCGCATAGTATGGCTGGTGTTCACGAATCAAAAGTGGTTGGAAAGATCACCAGACAGCGCGATGTTCTCGGCCAGAAGGCGAAAAGGCGTATGCACTCTGCAGGCGTGGGTGTCCAGAGACAGGCATGGGCGCATACGTATCAAATACATAGAGCCTGCCGTGTAATGTATCCAAAAGCGGCGGACGCCGGGGCTGAGCTACAGGGAGTTAGCCGCATGACTAGCGTCGTCTGGGACGGCACTCGCCTGCAGCCGTACATTAGACATACCCCTCCTACACCTTTTCTTTGATGTGCTGTACGGTCGGAGATGGCGTGCAGCGACGCATGTCTAAAAAAGTTAGGGATTTCCTGGATGTGCCACACTATCTTCAACGCGGCTCTGCTGGCAGACTTGACGAATGATGGTTAAATAGCTGTGCTAAGACGTGGTTTCACTTGTGTACAAACAGTCACTCGGAAGTGAGATGTGGCCTGCCTGTGACGATGGCTCAAAATTCCGATCCCTATATGTCTGTACATTGGAGTGAGGAGCACCAAGCTCATTATCGCACGCGCTGGAATGGCCGTAAGACTAAAAATACTATATACATCACCTGAACCATCAGCTAATACTTACTAGAAGCCTGGGTATTCTGGGATTATATCGGTCGACGTGACTCGCTTGATGCTCATCAGTTCACTAATTCACTGGTTGTACAAGGTCACCCGATTGAGGGGACCTACAACTCACAAAATCCACAATCCCAACAATCGGAGCCACTCCATCCTTGTAAGTGATTCGGGATCCCTAGAGGCTGAGAGTATCGTTAATGTTGTGTAGCATACTACGTGCGTGATGGTCGCTACTTTCAGCCAGGCAGGGTAAATAAACACGAATAGTAGCCGCAAAACATGTATATGTTGACAGCCCACAGGTTTTCTCCATGTTATTTACCGAGGCAGCCGGTACAACTGTGACTGATTACAACACCACCCACTCTGCAATCTCTCAGGTAGCCTACGGGGAACCTGTTTATACTCAGATCCGGCGGTTCATAGTGGTTCGCCATAAGAGAGAGTTTTGCTATGCTGTGTGAGATTTACCATCATCCGTTATATGACCAAAAGCTAACGTATGTTAGCCCCATCTTCACATATGGAGGACGTGGAACCACCAAGCCTGGTGTCGTTGCAAAAGAACACGCAATTGCATATTCTTATGGCAGTCAAGCCCGTCTCCTTACGAACGAGGCTCCGCTCGAGAAGAATTCAATTTGCGTCGTGATGAACCCTAGCGAACGTCCTCTCCATATTGCGTCAAGGATTTACTTTTCTATACATCATCCCATCCAGTATAACGTCAAGGTCAGAGATCTAGGCTATGTCCACCCCAGTCAGATGCAAGACTTCCAAGGATACTGGCATATGGAAAACAGAGCCGATACGAGCCAAGACCCGGATATCACCGCTGGAGCAGTGTAAGATGGATCCTCCAGCTGAACAGTTGCTAACACGACAACGCTCAAAGCCACACCAATTTTCTTTTTTCGCATGTGGACGCCCATGTTTCATTACAATTTCTCTGGCCGAAAAATACGTTGCGATTGTTTCCTCGTGTCTCAGTTGAGCTGTTTGATCTGTTTACGTTTCTTTTTACTTCTCAATCACGTTCCATGTATTGCGATTCACTTTCGTCACCAGAATGTCTACACGCGACCAGATTCCGAATTCAGATTGTACCTAACGAATGAAACAGCTGCACCAAATTTCCAAACATGTTCTTAATCACACGTATTATGCCATGGCTGGTTGATCAGATAACAGGTTACTGAAAGTAAACCTGACAATAAACATCAATCTGTGTAATTTCTCGTCAGAATGTTAGTGTCTAAGATATTTTTCTACTATGATGATCAATCGCACACGGCAGATTCGAGGCATATTCCAACGGGAGACTAGTTATCCTAAGACCCCTCAAGTAGCCACATGTGCAGCCTTGTGCCTCATGCTAAGTCTTGTTCACGCTAGAGGGCAAATCTCTGTCCCTCAACCTCACTGCTCTGTCACGTACTTACTCACACAGCATTCCAGTTCAATCAACTGTTCTCCAGTATCGACTCTGGTGATCCACAGTTTGTAAGTGATGTGTGTGCGCGACTTATGTTCAGAAAGACTAACATTTGTAACTCTCTACACTATGATCATTAATGAGTTTTCTCCTTGTAACAATTTATGTGTAATATTTGAATCTTCGGATTGTGATAAGAGAGTTTCCAACATCTGTCTCTTCAAATTTTCGCTTTGTATTGCACTCTTCCGTTGCATCACCTGTTAAGAAAGCGCTTTCGAGATCGGAACGCCCGAAATGAATTGTGTGTCAAAAAACACACAAAAGGGTCACTGAATAATCCGCTTACATGAAGACACAATTGAAGTATTCATCTAACCAGTCCCTTCAATTTAGGATATGAGATTTCAAACCACTCGACTACCGCCTGCCACTATTGCACTGCAACAATATCGTACTCTCCCATCCAGCAGCTACAATGGAACTGCTTGAACTGTACTTTGAAGTCTCTTTGCGACCACATTTGGTCTTCGAGGAAAGGTCATGGAGTCGATGGCGAGTACGACGGGTGATGTGGATCATCGGCTGCGCAAACACTGTATGCCAGGCCGCTCGTTACGCCGGGCAGCACGGTATGTAAGCGCTAAAACGAGGCGCAGCTGCAAGTTAAGGACCAGCCGTCCGTCAGTCGCGCACCAGCCTGATTGTCTCAAAAAGACTATAAATATCGCATTATCTTCCGCTGCTGTGTGCGTTGCTGCTCGACTCGCGCATGGCAGACTCGCTGTTGCTCCACGACGAGCGGCTCGGGCAACACCCCGACCACGACAGAAGATCTCCGAACGGCTCAGAAAAGCTTCAACACGATCCTAATCATCAGCAACGGCCGACCTTGTATGTGCGATGGCTCGAAGACTGGTGGCTCGGCGAGCTCGTTGCCGTGGTTTCTAGTTGCGCCCTGGTTGTCGCCCTTTGCATCATTCTCAAGAAGTACGATGGAGAGCGGATGCCTTCGTTTTCAACCTGGTTCAACTCGAGTATTACGCTGGGTACGCTGGTGTCGCTGCTTACCACGCTGGCCGTCGCGATGGCGCTCTCAACGGTGCAAGAGTGCCTCAGCCAGCTTAAGTGGCTTTGGTATTCGGGCGCGAGCCGGCCGCTGGGTGATTTCAAGACGTACGATCGTGCCAGTCGTGGGCTCATCGGCAGCGTGCAGCTGCTGTGGAAACTCCGCCTTACGCCCACTGCCTCCTTTGGTGCGATACTCACGGTCGCCCATCTGGCGGTTGCACCACTTGCGCAACAGTCGCTGCTGTACCGGTCGGTACCCGTCGTCGAAATACATGGAAAGGCCACTATACCTAGCACGAAGGATTGGACAGAGGCCCAACAGCAGACTCAGACCTTGAAAATGCCTGATGGCTACGCTTCTATCTCTCCAGGAATGAAAGGTGCTATATTTAATGGCTTCTTTGCAAGCGCCAACGTCACAATCAACGATACTCTGCCGACCTGCTCAACTGGCAATTGCGTATTTCCCAACTATCAGTCCTTAGCCATCTGCGCATCGAGCGCCGACGTGACTCCTCATCTTCAAAACTTAACAACGGAAGGAGAGGTTAGATGGTGTCTCCCCGGCGGATTTTGTGCCTCCAACAACGTCACCACCGTAAGCTATATGAGCGCCAATATCACCTCGGCCGTAACCCAGGCTGATAAGGACGCCACCGAAGAACTTCTGTCGCCACTTAACTACACATCGCTTGCTTTCGCCGATTATATCACTCCCGTAGGCGACTTCTACATCATTTACAAAAACCAGACCAAGTCCAGTGAGACGCTCTGGGCGGCAGTGGAGTTCGTGCTCGACTGGTGCGTGCCCACGTTTTCCACACAGGTCATCAACGGCACCGCCGTTACCTCACGGGGGCCGGATCCCTTCATGGACTTTGACGCTGAGCCCCATTCTACGATCACGGGACGTATAGGCGGCGAGGACATCACTGTAGACACACTCTCACACTACACGCTGCAGCGCTACCTGAACCTCTCGCTATCCGGCGGCGCCTATCTGGCCGAAACCGACACTTACGCCGACTCTGATCAGGTGCAGAAGCTGGTCACTTTTTTCGGCATCGGTGGCCAAGAAACGGATTTATCGACGACGCGCGTGGACGGCCTCGCTGCCCTGGACGCCATGCTCGCGAACACGGCTACAAGCATGACCAACTACATACGCTCAGTGCTAAAGACAGACCACGTTAACGGCACCGCCTTTGTTCAGCAGAACGTTGTGCACGTGAGCTGGTCGTGGATCGCCGCGCCCATTGTCTTCTGCGCAGCCAGTCTGCTTTTTTTCGTTGCCGTTGTCGCACTCTGCAGTGTCCGCCGCACTGTCAGGCCGCCCTTGTGGAAGTCCAGCGTCGTCGCTACCCTGCGCTGCCTCGACCCAGGTCTGCATCGTGAGCTAGGCGGCCCTCCAGGTCGGATGGCTACAAGTGGAGCCGCTGACAAGTTGAGTGTGCGGCTTGTGCGTGACGGCGAGGGCTGGCTGCTGGTTCGAGGCACGTCCGCCAAGTCTAATACGAGCATACGAATGCCCTGATTGCTTGGATGTATAGAGCGCTTAGCTATCTTTTGACCGTTTACTTCTGCATGTATTGTAGTAAAGCTAGCAGTAAGTTAAGCAAGTTAAGCAATGTAAGACCTACTTATCACATCGTCTCTTTAGACGGAGAACTATTTTTTGTATGCGCTAGGAGGCTGTACAGTCAAAACTGGAGAGCTGCAAGATACCAGATCGCGTCAATATGGTCATACACGATCGTCAATACTCGCAGTACTGTTAGTAGTCCCACCCATCATCCACACCACCCTCAAAGTCGAGCACCATGTCCACCCAGTTCCCCCCACCGTATTGACACTTGCTCGGCCCCATCTTCTTGAACCCCGCTTTTTCGTAGAAGGGTATATACCGATCTCTGTAGATCAGTGCTATCCGCGAGGCCACTCCCGAATCCCTGATCCTTTGCACGTAGCTCTGCAACAGTATCGAACTCAGGCCCTTCCGCGAGAAGTCCGGATGCACACACAGCGAGTGCAGACAGATGGTCCGCCCGTCCTCGGTGTAGCCCACCCTTGGCGAGAGCTGGTACTTTGACTTCCAGCCCTTGGGGTAGTCCATGGCGTCGTCTGTGACGACGGGTGAGATCGCCTTGGTGGATATGACGTGACCGAGCAGCACGCGCTTCCGGTCGGTGTCGGACGAGTCTATTGGCGGGAATTCTGGCGACCTCAAAGAAATAGTTAAAGCTTACTATTAGCTCTATAAGGTAATGCAAAGTGACTAAAGTAACGGAGTCAGTTGCGTACGCGACGCGCTGAGAACGCAGCAAGCTGAGGTGACATCATAGGTAGCTGCGTAGCTTGCATGTATTCGCAGGGAAGACAATGTCAAGCTTACAATGATGCTCGAGCAGGATATCATACTCCTTTTGACATGGGCAATTACTGTGATCGAACAACGACGAAGGTTGCGCGAAAGAGCTATCGACTGGCAAGGCTGCAGCTACAGCGGCTCATTCTGGAGGATCCCACAGCAAGCCCTGTAGGCGTGAAGCGCAAGTGCAAAACAGGTTGACAACCGTAATCTATTGTGGAGAATGAAGAACACTAGACGCTCCCAAGAAGATTGCCGGGAAAAAGGAGCAAGTACTATCAGGCTGAGGAACACCGATCCTGCGGTCGTCAGTGAGGCAGCATGCGATGGTGTTGGCGCTTTCGATCAGGCTCAGCCATACTGCCTGCATGCAATTCAAGAAACCCTACTTCAAACTATCACCTCGCGTACTAAGAGGAATCGCAAAATGCCGGGTCACAAAAGGCAGATACAGACGCAAGGATGCAAATGCTGTCGCACTCAGCACAAATGCACATACATGTTCTCATGGTTTCTGGTCCTCATCATGTCGTGCATATCTGTGAAATGCTACGCAAGCTTTTCTACCTGGTACTCGATGACCAATCCTCTATTTCTTTCCTCTGCCCCTAGCATTAAACGTCTTCAACGGGTCCACCTTGCCATTTCTCCCTCTCACTGTCTTCCTCCCCTTCCCCTTCACAAATTTCCTTTGCCCCATCTTGGGCACGTTCAACCCTACGAAGCCCACATCTTCAGGTTTTTTCCCACCAGGCAACAGATAGTCGGGGATGTGCTTGAGATGTGGTTGTATGCGTGCGGGATGATTAAGCGTTTGGTCGTGACGGAGATGCGCGAGTGCTTCGGGGTTTTCTTCGAACTAGCATTATGTTAGGGGATATCTTAAAGCTACTAGAGGAGCGAAACGTACGTAGCGCGACAACTTCTGGGACTTGGAAAGCTCCATGCGAATCTCTTTTATCCGTGCCTCCCGGATGGCGATGCGGGTTACTGAGCGCAGGGCATCACCAAAGCGGTATCTAAACGGTTCAAGACGTTTCATATCGAAGTTGTAGTTCTCGAGCTTCTGGCCATCCTTCTGGTGTTTTTCCACCTTTGTTAATACCTCCTCGTCATTCTCGCAGGCGGCGAACGTTGTCGACTTGTGCTTACGGTACTTGTCTTTTGGAATGATGAACGAGATGGCAGTACCCGACTTGCCTGCGCGTGCTGTTCGGCCAATGCGGTGGAAGTAGGATTTGTAGGTGGAAGGAAAGTCGAAGTTGAGCACACACGAAACGTTGAGGAAGTCGATGCCGCGGGACACTCCAGAGTCAGGTTCGCTCTTTTTGTCGCTCTTGGCTTTCTTTTTCTTAGGCTTGGACTCATTGTCCTCTTTCTGCTGTGAACCCAGAATCTCAGTTTCGTCTGAGGCAATCAAGATATTGTAGATGTTTTTGTTGAATTCTTCGACGATGTGCAGGCGGGATGCAAGCGGTAACTCGGAGTTGAGTACACAGGACTTGATACCAAACTGCTCGAGAAAGAGCTTGACTCGGTATGAGCGATCTGTATCGCCCACAAACACGATCGTCTTTCCTTTGATCAAACCCAACTTGAACATTGCGTAGATCAACAGGAACTTCTCCTCCTCAGCGCACTTGATGACGTACTGCTTGACCTTTTGCGAGCCCTTCTCGAGGTCGTCGAGCTTCAACACGACAGGATCCGTGCAGAGGAGGCTTCCGAGCGATTCGACTTCGGTGTTGAGGGTTGCTGACATGAGAAACATCTGCACGCCCTTGGGGATGCTCTGTGCGATCTGGTCCAGATCATCCTTGAAGCCATAACCCATGACCAAGTCGCCCTCGTCGACGACTAGATGCGCGAGCTCCTTCACCGACAGTGCGCCATTGTTGATATTCGTGCTCGCACGTCCCGGTGTCGCGATGACGACGTCAGGGTTGTCTGCCAGTTTCGCCTTGGTCACCACCTCCGATTCCTTTCCTGCGATGTTCTGTATCCGAATCTCCTGCCCGCAGTGTGTGGAGAGCGACTTAGCAACTTTGGTAATCTGGAGGGCCAGTTCCTTGGTGGGAACGAGGATGAGCGATGTCTTTCCGCGGCGTCGCAGCGTGTTGTGTAGGATGGGGAGTAGGTAGGCGGCAGTTTTTCCCGTGCCAGTACCACTGCGTGCGAGGATGTCGCGGCCCTGCAGTGCCAGAGGTATAGCCTGTGATTGCACAGCAGTTGGCGAACTCCATTTCTGATCTTTTATGCCTCTCAATAGTCGTGGCTCGAGCTCGAAATCGGCGAAGGAAGCCTCTGCTGTCTTCGAAGATTTGGACGGTGTGGTAGGCTCAGTCTGCGATGCGTCGCTTGCCCTGCGCGTTGTAGGCTGTGGTGACTCCTCCTCGGGAACATCATGCTCGTTCAGTTTGCGCTTCAAAGCCATGTTGACGTTTTGAATTCGGGATCTTGTGAATAATCGAGGCTGCCAGATGGTCGAGTAAACTCATGCAGATTCTCTGAACTTTTCTGGCGCCAACGCTCGTTCCTGGCTAGCCCGCCCCACCTCGGATCAACGTCGGACCGTCGACTTGGTCATCCCAGCACCGCTGGTCGTCTGTACACAATCACTTACTCATCTCTCAACCCAGGGAACAAGAGACCACCGCATTGACAGGAACTTGGTCGTCGATTCGATACGGCTACTACAATCGTTAAAAACTTTTTGTCGTCTGCCTGGCCCAACTGCCAGCTGCAGTTTACTGAGACCCAGATCTAGCCAGCCAACCAAGAAGTCTGAACAACGGTTCTACTACCGCCTATCCATTACATCAGCGCTTGGAAAGACAAAAGTCCTTTGGAGCTCGCACCTCATCACATCACCATTGCATCGGATAATTGACCACTATGAACGTTCAGCTTCTCTATTTTGACCTATATAACGAACGTGTTCCTATCTGATCTGCCAACACCAATTATCAAAACTTAGCAACAACCAAGGCTTCATAAAGTGCGCTTATTGACAACATAGGCTGCTCCTCGACTATTTTGCCGGTGCGCCACCTTGAAACGACTCCCCTGCGAGGAAACGCTGCGCGATATCATAAACCGTCTGAGACCTGATATGCAGTTGGATTCCATGTCCCACACGATCGACACTCTTCCAGTTGTATTGCGCTTTAGGGAACAAGGTCCCCGTCTCCTGCAACAACGATCCGCATCCGGCTGGCCCTATAACGGGGCTTCCTGGTCCACAGTACGCCTGGTCCTGCTCACCTGTGAGCACTAGCACACGACCCGTGTATTCGGGCGCACTGTAATACAGAGCGTAGAGCGTCACAAACTGCCCAATGGTCACGACGTCCTTGCGCTGGAAGAACAATTGTGCGAGAGTGTCGTCGAAGTCGACCTGAGCCTTGGACCCAAAAAACGAATTGGTGCGACCAGTCTGGCTAGAACTTGTCAGGTAGCCGGCAGGCAGGCTACCAAAGCGTGCAGGGTCTACGAGCGCGGCCGGCAACGGGAGCACGAGACTGATGCCGAGGAAGTCCTGTTGAACGTTCTTGGAATATCCTGTGAGGACGTACTCATCGTAAGCCGTTGGGTCTGCACCTGCGGTACCTGTTCCCATGTTGGAACCATACGAGTTGCCAATGTAGATGAGAAAATTGTACGCCCGCGGCAACTGCCCGGTGGTGCCGGCACGAACTTGTCTTGCGAGACTGTTGTAAAGAGCAATTCTACGAAGAAGAATAGAGGTTAGTTAATGGTTCACGATGGTCACAAGATAACGAGGTCGGCGATGATGCCCAAGGAGAAGGATAAGGGCCGGGGGTGTGCGCAACACTTACTCATATGGAGCTTGTACCACCAGAATAGGATCCGGATGCGCTGAACGGCCAGTGCCCAGACGATCCATTGCAAGCGTAGGATATCCCTTGTTGTTCATGTATCGAACCCATGAGTATCGCTCTGGTTGATATTCAGGGAAGTCGGTGCCAACGCCTCCCTCCGCATCCCAACCGTCGCGGTTGGCGGTGATACTGCCAAACAACATCTGGAGCTTTTGGTTGTTGGCGTTGATCACGCTAGGCTTGCAGAAGGTGCCGGCCAAAGTCTGGGTGCCCGAGACTTCGAAGAGTGTCGCATTGTTGAAAGCGTTGACTAGGCCATCGAGAGTGCCGAGTGGAATGCTGGCAGAAATGTTTCGGTTCTGAGCGGTGCCGGAAACGGTGAACACTACGGCCGTGCAATTGCTGCTGGTTACTTGTGCCACAGCAGTACTGCAGGAAAGCAGGAAGGTAGACCAGAAGATGTTCTTCATGATGAGTAGACTTGGTAGCGCTGTGAAACAAAGACAGTCTGATATCCAAGAAAACTGACTGACCTACAAGGTATTATTTATATTCCACTCGACTTCAAAAGGCATCATGGTCAATCGAGTAGGTAGGCGCCGATCAACCATCTGCACAAGGTGTTCACACCCCTCGCTTCCGCAATGACCGTTAAAGTTCTACTGACGATGTCCTCCCATGAACGAAATACTAGTTTATTGACGGATCTCTCCATACAACACCTGTTCGTGCATACTCTGCATGGGTATCTTTCGCTTGCGGCCCGTTCCTAGGAGAGCAGTATACTGCATGTCGGCAATTGTACAATCATCAACTAGTGCTGGAGATGATAGCAGAAAGCGTGGAAATGACATCATCCAGCGAATCGTAGGCTTAACATGGTTACTTAGTCCTTAAGATATATAAACCTCAAAAAAAGAACTCACCATCAAAGATCAGCCTGATGGCTGCGATGTTATGACTTGAGGTAGATCTTCAAAATTGAGTTTTCCATCAGAAAACGCACCTTAGGTTTACAATGAGTATCCCAGTCCCTATGAAACGTGCGCCTTCATTGGTTACAGATCCCTGTTTGCGACACATATATCCTAATCAAGTCATTGGTGGTCGAGTATGTGACAGGCGCCATAGAGTACATGGAGTACGTACGTTAAATGCGTCCAAGCTCTACTAACCGAGGCCATCTGATTCCAAAATGCTGGCCAATTACTGTGCCTGATGTGCCTACACCTTCCTGTACGAAAGGTTCGCAAAACGAGGTCATGGGTCTCAATCAGGCTAGGCATTTCAGAATCGAAGACGGAAGCAGGTTTTCGGAGAAGGCTAGAGGAACACATCTCAGGGGAATTTGTAGATCGAATGCTTAACCGAGATAATTTTCGATAGTGTGCAGCCGATCGTGCATGTCAATCATCATGGGGAAAAAGAAAAAGCATGGTACATGGGGAGGTAAAGCCAGAATTAGACTTCATGCTCAGGTCAGACTTCATTGGTGTTTTATGGCCGTGCGAGAGAACAGGGGATATCTGCCGAGGAGAGACCCGAGTTCTGCGCCCAATCTGACTTGTTTCATCCAAGTCAATTTGTTGGAGAGAAAACACCAGGCTCACTTAATCGCCAAAACTCATTCCGGGGCTTATGAGGTCTGCATTTGTCTTGGAAAGAGCGATGTTGTATCGGTATAGGGTACCAATACGATAAACCCACTTCAATTGCTCTTGACTACAACATGTGTGAGCTGAGTATACCCTGAGCACATCTCGCCAAAGCCTGGAAAGACAGGGTTACCCGAATGGCCCCTAGTCGATGACAAGTGGAAAGCTCCGATTCCAGCTCCGGACACTTCAAGTTGAAAGACACGGGTAGCCACTTCCAAAATCTAAGTAGCGTAGTGCTGTATTTTGTGGCTTCGGAAACTTCTTCGAGAGGCGTACATTGTCTGACGATATAGACAGACGCGATCACATCTACGGCTTACATGGCTTATGCACACTCACATGGATCATTCACGGGATGAATGTCGGAGACAACTCGACATCGATACGAAAACTCAGGTCGTTCCGAAGCCTCATACCGGTTACAAGTAGTTAATCTACTATGTACAGACGCCGATGTTCTATTGGCGGCCATCTGAGAAGGCGTTTATAATCTGGCAAATCGTACGACACATCTAAAATCTATTCGTGAATTGTTTGCAAGCATGTACGCCTCAGAGGACCGATGTAGTAAGCAAACATTGGAGTGTAATGATCAGTTCAGATGTCCAAAGCAAATCTGGACTTCTAACGGAACAGTAGAGACTCCAACTGCCTGCTCTATATGTGAATCATTACTCGAAAGATGTATATCGATCCAAACAGATTTTCAAAGAAGATAAGAAACTTATGCAGATTTCACTAACCGAGGACAAGATACAATCTTGAATCACCACAGTGGCGATCTTCTGACAGCTCCATTGACAATTGACGAATCATTCACTCCGGGCTTGTCCTACACGATGTTCTTCTTGATTGGACTCTCACAACATATATCCATAGCCATGATTCAATCTAATGATCAACAAATGTACCTAGGACAGAGTTAGTAACAGTGGCTTTATCTGAGTGCAGGACAAAAACGATCAAATTAAAGTATGCATATGCATGCAACCATGAGGCACTATCACTTGATCCGGCCTTCGATATCTGAACCATCGCCACCATGTCCGATGTTCTCCATAGAACGAAAATCCTACATAACCACATTCTTGATTGAACTTAGCCGCATTCAAGCTGCGTAGTATAAGCATATCCATGCTCGAGCCACTTGTATCTTGCCACACCACTTCACTCAAGTTGTTCAGACGACTTTCGCAATTCAACTTGTACGCAACTGTGTGTCTACTACAGGCAAGCTCTCGCCAGTCCCACGTTCACACAGTGTTAGAGACGTGTAATTGGAGGCGACATCGATTGAGAACATGGATATCAGACGTTTGTTATGATTGAATCTACTTATCGGAAAGTTTTAGCGTACCAACAAGCTCGCGACCGATTTTAGGGTTGGTCAAGACAGTAAGGTATGATTGTTGGACAGCTGACTTATTCATGGCCGTCTGGTTGTTGAGAATACAGTGTCCCCCTCTTTCTCCATAGCTTTTCCCTTGAAAGCTCCAGGATAGTGTATGTTTACAGCAGTTATCGTATATCACGGTTCCCACATCGTCTTCGGGTTATGTCTCCAGATATCCCCTCCCCTCCCCCTTCGACGATCTAGATACCTAGGATAGCGTATCTCTATCCTTTCAGTTATGCCATATCTACAATTGCTATCTCTTCCGCAATCGGCATTTAACAGTCGTGACGTCGTGACTCAACCCTACGTCGCGCATATTCGTGGCACCGATCCACGTGTGGATAATGAATCACCCTACGGAGCATGGTAGAGTATTCTAGACTGGGGAAAAACAGTTCATCGTGCGTCGTCGATCCGAAGTGTGTGGTTCAAAATAGGAGCGAAGTCTGATATTCTAGGATCATGCAGGGGTAATCGACTTCCACCGTGAACCACTGTTCTTTGATGCGCGGTCGAAAGATGGCGAGGAGCGAAATCCGGCGACGGGCTGAAAGGCATAGGAGTAATGTAGGTTTACTATGTTCCGTTAGTTCTGTGGTTCTTGACCTGCGATGCTTCGAAGACTGTTTTGAGCAGGTTCAACGCAGTAAAGCCGAGCTCCGAATTCATGGACTAAATCCGATTCCCTGATGTTGGCGATTTCTCAGCGTTGCTGCGAGGTCGTTTTTCGACGAGTTGTCGTAACATTCCAAAAGCGAGAACCAACAAGAGCAATACGTCCAGCCTCATTCGGCGTAGACCGAGATATCTCCGCATAGAATGTACGCTAGTATTGCGCTAAATCTCCAGGCGAGAACTAACTACGGACTTCTTCATCTGCAACTCCAGCCACTACCGTTAGTTGTAGCTTCCGCTTACAGCTCAACTTGGTGGCTCGACCTGTCGACCTTGAATGCTGCGATGGCTTGTAAATCGAGATTACGTATATCGCACTCTCACATGCCTCGACTGGACAAACACCTTCCCCGCTCAGAACCACAAAATCAGTGAGCTGAGTCCCCACTATAATTGCTAAAAACTTACATCAACACAATTTTGTCGTTAGCATACCGTTCCATCTACTCCTACAACCAGTCGATCCTATCAAACTAGCTTTATTTACATGCGTGATAACGTAAGTGAATGGGCCGTAGTCCGACAATCAAACCACAATTGTCATTCATAACTCTTGGAACAAGGCTTTCTACATTCAACCCCTCTATCCAAAGATGAAGCTCCAATCAATATGCCCATATCGCTGCAGTTTAACGGTATGTCTCTTGTGTCTTATCGTCATGACTTTTCAGCTCGCCGATCCAGGAATTGTGATGGTCTTTGCTAGCTATCCAACACAAGGAGGCTGCAATACTTATACTGAGGCCTGGTCTCCCTTGACTCTCAATTCAACTCACTTCCATCACTTTCAAAGAGGTGTCAAGTTGTCGCCATCATGTCTTGTTCGCTGGTGGCCACCGGCCTGCCCTCCGCCGTTGGAGGCGAAACGCCGACTTTCAGCTATGCTCGAACGGGTCACAGCGACGACTACTTTGGGATTGCCGTGACCTACCTGCAAGGAACCAACACGTGCTACAGCACTCAACCACCATGGACCCCAGTCATTGTGAACACAGGGGCTTCGTTTACGCAGCCCTGCACGTTCGAATACATCGAGACTGCCACGCCCAGGTATACCGGCATCTACTGTTACAGCGTGTCGGTAACCAATATTCCTGACGGTCAACTCACAATATCCTACTCGGGTTACAGTGGACCTGCGGCCAGCACGCCAGCTCTCTTCTTTGCTCAGTTTGGACCGTCGCCAGCCCCAACCACAGCCACAGTCACTGTTCCACCAATGACCTCAGGTGCCTCCTCAGCCAGCACCACCTCAATGGCATCCTCTTCATCTACCACACAGGGCATCCCGACTTTTACTTCATTCGGCAACACTACAATGTCATCGTCACCTTCTACTACATTGGGAACCTCAACCAGTACTTCCACCAGTACTCCAGTCAGCAGTTCGTCAACCGGTAGTTCAAGCAGCTCAAGCATCAGTTCAAGCAGCTCAAGTAGCAGTTCCAGCAGCAGCTCCAGCAGTAGCTCTAGCAGCAGCACTTCAAGCAGTACTTCAAGCAGCACTCCAAGCAGCAGTTCAACCAGCAGCTCGACTAGGACCTCGACCAGCACCACCGCAACAACGTCAACCTCAACCTCAACCGCCATGGCTAAACGCTCCATAGCTAAACGTGCTGTAACCACTACGATCTCAGTTCCTTACACAACAGTTACGCACACGGATACTGTCATCGTCACCAACTCAGTAACCTCAACCAGCACAGTTAGCAGTTGCAGCAGTAGTTATGTTCCCACATCTCAACCTCCGTATGCTAGCTCGTCGCAGCCTCCATACATTGGCTCATCCCAGCCTCCGTATATTGGTTCATCCCAGCCTCCGTACATGGGTTCATCTCAGCCTCCGTACATGAGTTCATCTCAGCCTCCATACGTTGGCTCGTCCCAGCCTCCGTATGTTGGCTCGTCCCAGCCTCCGTATGTTGGCTCGTCCCAGCCTCCGTATGTTGGCTCGTCTCAGCCTCCGTATGTTGGCTCGTCCCAGCCTCCGTATGTTGGCTCGTCCCAGCCTCCGTACGTTGTTCCATCCCAACCCACATACGTTGGCCCATCCCAGCCTACTTATTCGGGCCCATCTCAGCCTACATACGTTACCCCGTCTCAGCCTCCTTATGCAGGCCCATCTCAACCTCCAGATGCAGGCCCGTCTCAGCCCCCATACGACGGCTCGTCCAAGAGTGGTTACGAAGGTTCTTCCAAACCCACATATGGAGGTCCATCTGAGCCCCCATATGTAAAGCCATCTAAGCCCTCATATGAAGACTCCCCTCAACCATCATATGCAGGTCCATCCAAGAGTGCCCATGCAGAGCCTTCCCAACCCCCATATGCCGAGCCATCTCAGCCATCATATGCCGGCCCGTCGAAGAGTGATTACGCAGAACCATCTCAGCCGTCGTATGCAGGCCCACCAAAAAGTGGTCGTGGGTATCCTGCTCAACCTACATATGCAGGCCCTTCGCCTACATATGAAGGTCCATCAAAGAGCGATTACGCCGGCCCCCCCAAGAGCAGTCATCAAAGCTCTTCCAAGAGTGACTACGAAGGTCCATCCAAGAGTGACTACGAAGGTCCATCAAAGAGTGACTACGAGGGCCCATCCAAGAGTGATCACCCAGGCCCATCGATGAGTGATTACCCCGGTCCATCGATGAGCGATTACCCCGGCCCATCGATGAGCAGTTACCCCGGCCCATCGATGAGCAGTTACCCTGGCCCATCCAAGAGCGACCACGCAAGCCCCTCCAAGAGTGAATACGCCGGTTCTTCTAAGAATGATTACGAAGGCCCATCCCAGAGCAGCTACCCCGGTCCCTCCAAGAGTGAGTACGCTGGCCCATCCAAGAGTGGTTACGAAAGCTCATCCAAGAGCGGTTACGAAAGCTCATCCAAGAGCGACTACCCAAGTCGCCCCAAGAGCGACTACCCCAGCCCCTCCAAGAGCGAATACGCAGGCCCCTCGAAGCCCACATACGCCGGTCCGGAGCCCACTCATGCCGAGCCGTCCCAACCCCCCTACGAAGGCCCGCCCAAGAGTGAGTACGAAAAGATGACAGTATACCCCAAGGTGAAGCTGCACCGCAAGCGTGTCGTCCGCGTCACAAAGCACCACCAGATCCAGAAGCGAGCAAACGCCGCCAACCCTGATTTCACCTACACCCAGGACATCGTCACCTCCACAGTCACCGCCGATCCGGCTTCTACGACGACGACTGAGGTCACGCTTCCTGCTTCCACGACTACAACTGAGATCACGCTTCCTGCTTCTACGACTACAGCTGAGGTCACAGTTACAGTGTATGTGACTTCCCTTGAACCCCCTCCCTCCTGCTATCCTTCTGTGCTGACTTGATACCCTAGTACCGCTACGCCTACCGACACTGGAACGAGCACTGTGACGGCGTCGTACATCGCCACGGTATCGGCTACTGACACCATCACATCGACGACTACCATCGTGGACCAGGCCACCATCACCACGTGCCCTACGATGATGATGACTCAGTTCTAGGCATGCAATCTTCTGCTACAAACACTCGCGCACTATGAACGCGATGCGTTGCAAACGGTAAACAACACGGCTTAACGGTAATCAGTCCAGGACTTTACATATCCTATCGCAATATGCTTCGGGGGAAATCTGGCGTCGCCTTTCTCGGCTCTCACGATGCCAATCCACTCTCTCAACACATCCTCCGTAGTGATAGATTTAGATAGTAAGGACCTCTAATATAATCATTCCATCATAACTCTCTCGTTACTCCTCATACGATTGTTTGTGCTGTGCTATGATGTGTGGAGCCCATATCTGCCTCATCTTTGAGTTTTGTACATAAAACAACTTTCAGAACCGCGCATGTTTGAATATGTAGCTGGTCGCACATACTCCGGTCAATCGACTTCTTCCCCACACACACAAGTCCACCTATCAACCCACACAAAAAATCCACATCTCACCCCGGATCAATGCGCAAAAAGACAACTTGCAGAAACAAGGCCTGCACCCAGCCAAACCATGAATCAGAAAAATTGACCTTACATTCCCACACACCCTCCATATCCACACACACACAAACTACTACTCATCCATACTCTCAATCCCCGGCAACCCGCCTTCATCACGCCAACCACCTAACCATCCATCTCCTCCAAGCGCCTCAAATCCATATCCTGCGCCAGCAGCGGAATAACATACGGATCGAACGTCTTCCAGTACGGGTTCTCGAGGTGGTATTTCTGCGACTACAACAACCACCACATCAGTCAGTATATCTCTCCCACGCACCTTAAACGCAAAAAAAACCCCCCAAAAAAACAAGAGTAGAACGGGAGGAGGATGGACTAACACTCTCCTGCAAGTACCGCTCAACAATGCAGAATTTCCTCGGCTCCGCGACGTCCTGCATGACGAACCAGGATAGCGTCTCCGTGTCTTTGCTGTACACGCCGCTTGCTTCGATGAGCTTGGCTTTGAGCTTTGAGATGCATTCTGCGTCGTCTTTGGCGAGCATGTGCACGACGATTGTGTAGACCATTTTGGCTGGTGTTATCTCGATAGATAGATAGATAGATGGATAGATAGATAGACAGGTTACTTCAGTTGTGGTGCGGTGTGCGTGGGTTGTTGTTGTTCTGTGCAAAAAGGGAGAGAGAGTGGGACTTTTTATTTTACTCGCTCCCTCACGATATGTGGAGAAGGGGTGATGATTTTTTTTCTCCTTGCCAGGTCATGGTTCGGTGACGTGATGTTGTGAGGCTAGTTATGCACCCCGCAAAATATCCGTCCACGTCGGCGGTTGTGAGAGCCCACATAAATTCTTGGAAGGTCCGAACGCGGGAGGATGCTCGGAGGTAAGTTTTGTTCGCTGTTTTGTTCACTGTTTTGAAAAACTCTTTTCGACAACGAAATTTGTAGACATTTTGTCAAGATGCGTATGTGTAAGGAGCAAGTCAATTCGAACCACGCCAAAAATTGGTTGAACAATTTCAGATACATTCCACAAGGCGATGGATAAGTGCCTCCCAACACCTCCACCTCCTTTGCACAGGGATATATCTAATCTCACTTCCGGATGCCAAACACACACACACCCAAAAGCAACAGGAACGCTAAGTACAACACTCGCCGCCATCCCAAAACACCCCCCCAAAATGCCAAGATTCACACGAAGCGAGAAAACCTAATATACACTATTCCAAGGGGCTGTCCTACGATCGGCTCAACATCTTGATGACCTCTTCCTTCTCTGCTGTTGGTAGCGTGCTGAGCAGCGCGACAACACCCTTGAGACCGCCTTCACGATCCTTGCGCATCAGTTGCGCGACCTCAAGCGCAATGCCTTCGCTTCGCAGCTTTTCGACGCGCTCGTGGACAGTCTTTCGGTTCTCCTCGTACCAGGTTGCAACACTCATGTCGTCGGTCTCGAACTGGGGAATGTTGCACCAAGCTTGAAGCATCTCGAGGCCACGGGCGCGTGTGACAGCGTCGGCCTTGGGCTGGTCTTGCGATGGCGCGGCGGCAGCGGCAAGCTTCTTCAGGATGTACTCCTCGTTGAGACGGCGGCGAAGACGCCAGTAGAAGAAGCGGCGCGCGTTCTGCCATCGCAGAGCTTGGCGGATAACACCCTTGGCCATCATACGGCCGGAACGATCGTGAAGGTCAGCGAACTGGATGGCGATCTGGCTGTAGACAGGCAGCAGTAACTGTTCGCGCTCGGTCATCTCAGCCTTGATTTTCTGGAGCTGATCTTGTGGTGTCGAGGGGTTGTTCAGCTTGCTCTTGAGAGCAGCATATGTGGGGTCGTTGCGTGCCATGGTCTCGAGTTGCTTCTCCTTGCGGAACTTGATGCCGACAATGCCTTCGGGCTCGAGAACACCACCGCGCGAGTCCTCGTCAGCGTACATCTCCATGAATTGAGGGTTGATGGTAGGATCGACGACGACCCAGGAGCCACCACGGAGTTCACCGTATGGCGGAATGTACACAAAGATAGGCTGCTCGAACTTGACAAGAGCATCCACAATGTACGAACCGTACTTGAGGACCTCGTTGTACATGTCGCGCTGACCACCAGAGAAACCACGCCAGTTGGCGAGGATCATCAGCGGCAGCTGCTCACCGTTGTTGAAGTCCTTGATGGCCTGGGCCGTCTTGAATGCGGAGTTAGGGTACCAGACACCACCAGCCTCAGATGTGACTTGCTCGACGGAGTCAGGGTTGGCGGGATCAGCAGGCGTGACGTTCTCAACTGAGCGAGTCTCGACGCCAATGACACCCACAGGGATACCACCAAGGCGAGCTCGTCCAACAACAACGGTCTTTGCCCAGCCACCAAGCGTTTCCTCGAAGGAGCCCTTGTCGAAGAGACCAGACTGGAAGCCATCCTCGTCGTCCTTCCCGGCGATGAGGTGCCTGACATCGTAGGCAGCCTTTCCAGGTGGGTAGTACGTAACATCGCGGTCCCAGTCATCAGATGTTGGCGAGATAGGAACAGGGTTGCCCTTCTTGTCAGGCACAAACGACATCCACTTAACGATCTTGGAAACACCTTCGAAGTCATCCTCGGCGGTCTGATGCGAAACACCATTCCTGTACATGATCTGGGTTCCACCGAGCTGGAGGTTGGATGTGTACACTTCACGACCGAGCAGCTTGTTGATAGCCTGGGCACCCGTGAGGATGATCGGCTGGCCCTCGATCTGGATAGCACGCTGACCAAGACGGACAAGGTAGGCACCGATACCTGTATACGGTTAGTGGTAGAACTTATCATAAAGTAAGGTTTTAACATACCAACTGAGCGGCAAGTTACCAACGTGATGGTGAAGATGTCCTCGTAAGCTCTTGATGTCTCACCAGCGATCAGACCAGAGCCCCGGAGCGACTCAACACCAAGTCCATCCTCTGCACCAATGACGGTGGTGATCTTGTGTCGCGTCTGACCATCAACATCGACCTTCTCGCAGATGACATCATTACGCTTTCCGTCCACGAAGTGCGCATACTTCTCTGGGGTCAGGTAGAGGTAGTCGAAGCCCGCCTCAGGCTTGCCCTCATCCTTCCAAGCAACGGAGAAGTGAGGAATGAGCTCCTCAGCGAGACCAATACGAGCTCCAGAGTTGGCAGAAAGGTAGATTCGTGGGATGCCGAGCTTACGTGCAAGCTCTGAGCACTTGTGGAAGAAATTGTCTTCCTGGGGACCGAACGAACCGATCTTGTAGGTGATGTCGTTGGCGATGATGATGAAGCGACGGCCACGAGGGTACTCAGGAGTCTTCGCAGTAACGATCCAACCGACCATACCGATGGAGTTGTTACCAGGATCACGGTTGACCTCAGCCAGGTTGTCAGTGTCGTCAAGCACCAGCTCAAAGTGCTCAACGCACTCTCCCTTCGCTGGCTGCTTGTCGCGGAGGTAAGGGTGCTTGGCAATAGCCGCCGACCAGCTGTTCTCGGTCGCTTGCCGGAAGAGCTCGGGAAAGTCGTAGACATACTGAGTTCCCATAAGATGAGCCTTGTACCTCTTTGGCTGAAGAGCTCCCTTGGTCGGGTAAGGCGTTGTCACGGGCTGGAGATGAAGCGCGCCAATCTTGGTTGTTCCGCCGATGCTGTGGAAGAGCCACTTGCCAGCCTTCTCAGACTTGCGCTCCGCATACATCTCAACTTGAATGACGTATCCAGAGGTGTTGGTGATGATGACGCGCAGAGGGTAAGGAATGCCAGTCGCAGGATCGGTCACAATGATGCGGATCTCAGCGCCGGTGACACGAAGGCGCCAGAGTCGTCGACCAAAGCGTTCCAAAAAGCCGCCGATGGCCTCCTCAACCTCAGCGGGGTTGAGAGGGAACACGTGAGAGAAGTTGATGAAGATGTGGTTCATGTCAGCTTGAGAAGTGCCAACAATCTCCAAGGCATCCAGAATGTCAGTCATCAACCGATCAGTCTCAGAGACCATGTACTCTGCAGTAGGGATCTCCTCACGAAGGCGTCCAGATCGAACAACAGCCCTAAGGAAGTAGCGCTTATCGCTTTCAGCACCCTTGCCAACAGCCTCGTAGATATGGATGTTGCGGTTCTCGGTGAACACGGGCTTGATGTTGAACTTTGACAAACGCCCAAGCTCAAGCTGGAAAGCAAGAGCAGGCTCGACGTGACGAATACTGTCATCTTCTTCATACTCTGGGCCACGGAAGGTGTAGTAGCCAGGGTAAGTTCCATCCCTATGACCGCAGATGAAAGTGAGGCGGCGAATGCGGTGAGAAAGCAACTCCTCCTTGTACTCTTCGACGAGAGGAAGAATGCGTTCCAAGATCTCCTTGTCATCAACGCCCTCGATATCACGGACAGCGACGTTCAGCACACCGGTAAGCTCGTCTGTACCCCTGTTGGGAAGAACACCGGAAGTCGGAGTACGCTTCAAAGCCATGCTTTGCTTCAAAGTGATACCACCCTTCTTCGAGTCACCGGAATTCGTGAAGATGTCAAGAGCCTTCGCAATCGACTCATCGGCATCGTCAAGATACTCAACAGGAACGACGACACCTTTCCTAGAGGGTTCGCCCTCGAAGCGAGCATTCCAAGCGCTCAAGTCGCTCATGGATTGGATGCGAGGTGGTCGCTCGAATCCGGGGGTCATCGGGGTACCAGGCTCGGAAGGCTCTACGGCAAGACCGTACTCTGCTTCACCAACCTTACGAAGGACGAAATCCCAAGAAAGAAGGCAGAGTTGTTCACCCTCGTTGTGGTATTGGATGTCCTGGAGCTGGTACGCACGGTACGCGCGACGAGTGTACACTTCCAACGCAGCAAGAGAGACCCACGGGTCCTGGTGGACGAAGAACTGCGTCAGGACGTCGAAGACAGTGTATCTCGAGTCAACGACCTCCTTGATGACCTCGAAATTGGGCTCACGGTGGTCCCAACCACTCTCACCATAGCGTGATTCAACAACTGCCGATCGCAAAATGTGCTCCATCTGTGTGGTACGTTCCTCGAGAGAGGGCATAGCACACTGGATGAGAACCTCACGAGCCTTGAGTGACACCTTGGCAGTCTGTCTGGACTCAAGCTCAGTGAGCTTCTTGAGAGTACCCTTGAAGTACTTGGCAATGTTTCCAACGCCAGGCTTGTTCGGTCGGTAGAGGTCGAGAATGGCAATAACGAGGTTGTTCTTTGCGCTAACCCTAGTGTGGGAAAGAACAGTGTGGACAACACTTTCGATGTTGTCGCGGTTCTCGTCACGAAGCTTGAGGATAATCTCTTCATCACGAGATGTGCGGCCGGAGAAGAGCGACTCGGTAGCCCAGTACATCTCCAAGAACTGAATCACGACCGTGTATTCATGTGCCTTGAGTCCCTCAGAGTAGCGGGCGATGACATCTGTGAGGGGGGCTAGCCCAGACCTCAGAAGATCAGCATCGCCCTTGGCCACATTCTCATCGATGAACTTCTGGAAAGCCTTGTTGAGCTGCTTGCTGGGGAACTCGAGAGTGCGGCTATGTGCCTTCTCGACGGTCTGAGACAATATGGTGTCGAGCTTCTGTGGCATACGCGCGTGGAGAGCAGATGCCTGGGCATTCCACTCGCCGTATGGCAGCTCTGGGTCCCGGAGAACATCGACAAGTTCTTTGAGGGTGGTCTGCATAATGACCTGATTGTCGAAACCTTGGAGGATGTTTTGGAGGACTCCAAAGAGGTATGCGAATCGCTGCGGTGGTTTGGCACCCATGACCTGCGGCGATCCAAGGGCGGGGAGAAGACCCAAGAAGTTTTGAGCCGACTTGACCTTGGACGGGTCGTCAAGAGCCAGAACACCGATAATGTCACCAGCCTCGAGCGTGGCTCCCGGCTGCTTGATCAGATTGACGATACCGGCTTCCTGGGCGATCAAAGGCATGTACATCTTCATGACCTCGACTTCAGCGTAGGCCTGACCCTTGGAAACATGGTCGCCATTTTCCACGATAAACTTGACAAGCTTACCAGGAGAGGGAGTACGAAGCTGGGTGGGGTCGTTTTCTTGCTCGAGGAGGCAGGTCTTACCATCGACAGAGAGACGAGTGGCACCAACCTCCTCCTTCCAGTAGACGTTGTGGGACTTTCCGCTCAGCAAAATCAAGAGACCACCGTCGGCAAGCGCTCGAATACCGACGGAGCACTTCGAACCGTTGATGAAGAGCGTGTACGTGTCAATCGTGGACCTTGTCGCAGTAAACTTATACCGGTAACCTTCGTAGATGAAGTCGATAGGGAACACAGTCTTGAGGAGGTCTTTGGAGGAGACCTGACCCTTCTCCAAGCTAGTCTTGTACTCGCCAATGCATACATCGCTCGCAGCGTGAGCTTTCGTGACAGCACCGCAGATAACGGCAATCATGGGGTCTGGTCGTTCCGCAGTAAGCTTCTTGGAGATGAGCTCGTCGAGCCAGCCAGTCGTCATGGTGTTGTCTTCGAAAGCAGGTGTTTCAAGCAGCTTGATCAGGTATTCAACAGTCGTTCGGAAATCTCCACGGATGCTCAATTCCTTGAGCGCAACAACCATGTGTTTCCGCGATGCTTGTCGGTTCTCACCGTAAGCGAAGATGTGACCGAACTGGGAGTCGGAGAAGCTGTGGATACCACCAGCAGAACTGACGGAGAAGTAACCCCAGACGTTGGAGCTACTCCTGAAGTTCAGATCGTGGATAGTACCACCCGATGGCTTGAAGCCCTCGTCGGGATCTTCAGAGGTGATACGGCAGGCCGTGCAGTGGCCCTTGGGAGTCGGTCGTCGCTGGTTCTGGATGCTGCCCTCAGTGGAGAAGGAGAAGTCGATCTGTGAGCCGGCGTGCGGGTCGGCGCCGTACAGCAATCGGATGTCGCGGATTCTATGCAATGGCAGACCCATGGCAATCTGGAGCTGGGCAGCAGGCAGATTTACGCCCGTGACCATTTCTGTGGTGGGGTGCTCCACCTGCAGACGGGGATTCAGCTCGAGGAAGTAGAATTTGTCGTCGGAGTGCGAATACAGGTACTCGACAGTACCGGCTGAAACGTATCCAACCAGTCTGCCAAGGGACACTGCAGCCTTCTCCATCTCCTGGAAGGTGTTGGAGGAAGCGACTGTGACGGGCGCCTCCTCGATGATCTTCTGGTGGCGTCGCTGTACCGAACAGTCACGTCCGAACAGGGAGATGTTGTTGCCGTACTGGTCAGCCAGCAGCTGCACCTCGAGATGGCGCGCGCTGCCCGCGAGCTTCATGATGAAGATGGGCGACCCCGGGATTTCCGAGGCAGCTGCCCTGTACAGCGCCTCGAAGCCCTCTTCGCTGTCGACCTTTCGGATGCCCTTGCCACCGCCGCCCTCCGAGGCCTTGACCATGACGGGGAAGCCAATCTTCTTGGCGGCCTCGAGGCCCTCCTGCCACGTCTTGGTGCATCCCTTCTCATAGATGTGGTCCTCGACGGTGACGATGCCCTTGTCGTCGACTATGACCTCCTCGACGCCTGTGCCCGACCACGGGATGCAGGGCACCCTTGCGTGCTGCGCGACGATTGTGGACGAGATCTTGTCGCCGAGCGAGCGCATGGCCGACCCGGGGGGGCCGATGAAGACGATCTTCTTGGGCGAGGCGGCGAGCGATTCGGGGAGCTTTGGGTTTTCCGAGGCGTGGCCCCTAGCAGTGCAAGTCAGCATCTCCCCCTCCACTGTGCCAAACGGCGTGTGACGTACCATCCTGCCCACACGGCGTGGACGTTCATCCGCTCCGCCACATCGACAATCAGCTCGACGTTGGCGTAGTTGTTGTTGTTGGTTCCGCCGGGCACCTGCACACAGCCATTAGCCCCCCCACACATTTCACCGCAGACGCCCGGGCTCAGCACATACCTCGACATACTGGTCGGCCATGCGGATGTATTCGGCATTGGCCTGCAGATCCTCGGGCGTGGCCATGACGGTGAACTGGATGGCCCGCTCATCGCCGAATGTCTCGTACGCCCACTTCCGCACCGAGCGGATCTCCTTGACTGCCGCAATACCGTTGTTCGCAATAAGCACCTGTGCGCCCAATGTCAGCCCACGCCCAGCCATGCACCCCGCCACACGCCCCCCGCCGCCAGAGGGGCAGGCTGCTCACATTTGTAATGACCGTGTGTCCGTCGTGCGCCGTGACAAAGTCCTTCACCTTGCCCGGCGACGCGGCGTTGAGGTGGTTCCCGCCGATGAAGTGCGGAGCCAGGTTGTACTTGGCCGCATACGTGCTCGGGGCGCCGTTGGCAGAGCCATTGGCGCCGTTCTCTGCGCCTCCAGCCATGTCGTTGAGTGCAATTCCCATGCAGGGAGTGGCGTGAGTGGGGGGAGGAAGGAGGGAGCGAGGGGGAGGCTGCAGGAGTGGTGAGGAGTCGGCGAATTTGTGCTGCTAAGAAGCTGGAGCCCGGCCTCTAGTCCCGCTTGCAGATCAGAATACCCCAGATGACGACGATGCCCGCAATTGGCGTTTTTGCACGTTGCGTGACGTGGTCTCAAGCTGCTGCTGCCGATGGGAGGATCGAGCAGAGTATTAGTAGTAGTGTCTTGTAGCTGTGGAGCTGGTATGCAAATTGGCCGAAAAGCAATCTACAGAAAGACGCCGATTGCTGTGCTGGGAGGAGCAACACCAACGACGAGATACACTTCAACGGGAGAGGCGCGCAGGCAATTGCAGCACCGGGTATAATGTGAGGAGAGATGGGAGGGAGAGCAGAGGACGAACAGCTTCGGGTAATGGGGGAGCGTATGTAGTCTATTACATATAATTTTTTGAAGGCGCGGACTACCCAAGCTCTTCCGAGCATTGTTGAGCTGAGGCCCACCGCGTTCCCCCTCCGAATCCCCCCTGTCACGCCGACTCTGTGTGCACGGTAGACGTTCGGAAGCCACACGGAAGCCGAGCGCGTCTTGCTCTCTGCCTCCCTCATCCTCAAGTGCTGCGTCGACAGCTCTCCCACAACATTCACAGCTTGACACGAAGCTCTACACAACTACTCAGCTTCTCTCCCAAAGACGTTGAGCGTTGTTGTGCATGGTGGTGTCCTGGATAGGCCATGTTGGGCTCATTCCGCATTAGTCTACGCTTGCGAGGCCAACGACGAGCCGGAATACACGGCGAGTTACGCGTTGGGCCCTCGCTATCTCCCAGCAGCTGCTGCATCGCCTACAATGCTGGCTATCCAAGACCATCACTGCAGTTCAACACTATCATCACCCTCAACACGCAGTATCTCGCGTTCCTCATCCTTCCGAGTGCAGATGAGGGGCAGATGGGTGCTCGCTGCGAGTCAAGAGCCACGGCCCCTCTCGACGTCAGCAATGACTATCGTGATTCAGAAAAGAAGCTGCAATTGGTATTTGCACCACCGTTTAGAGGGTTAGAGTACCACAGCCTCTACTAAGTATTGACTACCGGGTCTCCTCCTCCCACGTCCACCACTTTCGGACTCCGTGTATCTGCCCAATCAGCGACGAGGACGCCCGCCATCTGTGCATTCTCCATGACAGTGCGTGTGCGATGTGTATGACACCTGTAAATAATCCAGTGCACGTTCAGCATCTTTATTTGCGCAAAGTAAGCGAGACATGAGGCGACACATGCAGTGTTCTGTGACTTGCTCCAGCATGCGTTCCTCACGTCTGCGAAGTGGTAAGCGAGACCAAGCACCTGCATCTCTGTGCTGCTGTAGGGATACCGCAGCAGATAAGCAGCAGATAGCTCGAGCACCCGCGTGAGCTGTGAGCTAGATTCCGAGCTGCATTCCGACCATGAAGGCTTGGACGGTCCGTACCGTTTTCCAGTTGTGACGTGAAAATCGTACGACTTTCCCGTTGACAAGCCCAGGACACTACCGCGTCTGTGTCCGTATTCAACCCCATACGTTCATGCATCCATGAAAACACACAAGCTCTCCAACGTCTTAGACTGCATGATTGATTCTTGAAAGGCTAGATATTCGACAAAAGAAATGGTATTCGAGTGATATGTAAACCGACTGACATAGGCCAGTCCCTAAGCTCCGTCCCTGTTCTTCTCTCTCCGCTGTATGCGCAATAATCCAGAAGCAAGATGCCATGTAACATCGCCGACCCAACCAGACACTCCGCTTCGCTTGAACCCTGACCAGCGCACTTGCATAGCGCCGCAGAACTCCAAAACGCATGCAAAAAGCCACGAGGTATAGCGCCCGCAAAACCATGCACCCCACAAAGACAAAACGCCCTTCAACCTACACACACCACCGCCTCAGTAAGTCTCCAGATCCTCCTCGTTGTACGTCGACATCTTGCGTGGCCGAGCTGGAGGCCCCATGTCACCGTCAATGCCATGGCTCGGTCTCCGTGCTGCGCTCTGTCGCCTCGGCAGCCCAGTGGGTGTGGGAATGCCCGACTTCTCCATCGTTGATCGCCGGCCCACTGGGGTCACGACGCTGCTTCCGTCACTTCGCGTATCTGTCTCGCTGTCTCGGTAGGACATTGATCGCGAATGGGAATGGTTGTATCCGATCGACTGTCCGCTCATAGAACTCCGCGGTCGTGTGTACCGCACGTCCATTCCACTCATCGACGCTGAGGAGTAGTGGCCCATCATCGTTCGTGTGCCGCTCCTGCTTGGTGGTCGCTGCATCCCTGAAGACGACAGGGATGCTCTACTGCTAGGCCTGCTCTGTCCTGACTCGCGCGTCGTTGACGGTGTACCGAATGAGAGTCGGCTCACACCGGAATCGCTGGCGTCGTTGGTCGAGGAGGTTGCTGAAGCCTGTGATGGCCGTTTTCTGGTGCTTCTCAAAGTGATGTTGCTCGCCCCGCGATGGCCAAGTGCACTTGCAGTCCGTGGGCTCGCTTGCGGTGGGGAGTTGGGTGGAGCAGGCAGCTTGGACCGCGCAGAGTACACCCGTTCCTCCAGCTTCTGCATCTTGCCAATCAGCCCTCGAATTTGATAGAGGGAGCCGGACCTGGGCATCCCCGCTGGTGGGGCAGCCGTGCTACTGCTCACACTAGCCCTGCTACTACCAATGCTGGTCCTGGGGGGCCTCTGCGAGGGTGCAGTCGCCTTGGGCGTGGTCGATCTGGGTGCAGTCGTCTTGATGGATGGCGTACTGCGGCCGCTGGCTCCAATGCTCTGCCTAGACGCCATTGGGACGCTAGGCTTTCGCGTGTGTCGCGGTTTCGAATTGTACGGCCAAACTCGGGGTGCAGTGCCTGAGCTGAGTGCAAGAGAGCTTTTCCGTGTGAGTATGGGCGTTACGGGCACAGGTTTCGCAGACAGAGAGACATCGGACAAGGGAGGGGATGGCGGCGTGGAGTCTGAACGCAGAGCATCTGACTTGGAGCGGGGTGGGGTCGAGGCAGCTGTGCGCGAGGATCGGGTTGTTGTGGTGGTCGAGGCTTCCGAAATGGGTGAGCGTGGTCGCAGAGAGTCGCCAGCGATATGGCTGGACACTTTGCGCTGGTGGTGCCTCTCGATGGTTGCCTCGGCCAGGCGCAGCTTCTCCTGCACAATGTCCGCCTCGATGCGCAGATCTGAGAACTCGTCACGCAGTCGCTGGGTCTCTATGCGCAGCGCCTCGCGCTCCTGCTCGCCGATCTTGACTTCCTCCTCCAGCAGAACGCCGCGCTCGATGGACACATTATACTTGGACTCGACGTCCTCCAGCGAAGACGTCTGGTTGCGCGCCTGGCGCTCGAAGTCGTCGCTCTGGACCTCGATGTCGCGCAGGGTGCGCTGGAGGGTGCGCTGCACATCGCGCAGGCTCGTGATCTCCTTCTGCAGCGTGTTCTGCGCATTGTTCGCCTCGGTCTTGCTTTGCTTGTATTTAGCCTGTCGCCGTCTGGTCAGCGCCGCGCCTCGAGTGAGTCCACCGCCACGTCAGCGTACCTTCCACTCCTCGACCTCGAACCCCAGTCGCTCGACCTTCTCCTGCAACTTGCGCTCGCGCTTCTCGCTCTCCTCGACGTCGCGCTCGAGTTCCTGCTCCAGCTCCTTGCTCGACTCCTGAAACTCGCGCAACTCGCCCTCTACCCACTCGTACTGGGACTTGTAGTACGCCAGCTCTTCCTGCACACTGCTCCACCCCGCGCTGGGGGGCGAAGACGGCATGGCGTAGGAGGCCATGGCGGCGGCGAGGTGTTTGCGCCCCGGGTCGTCTGCGGAGCCCAGGAGAAGACGCGCGGTGGTGGCTCGGCGGGGCGGGCGTGGAAGGGATGGTCCTCGGGGGTTGGTGTGGCGGCTTCACTGTCGGCGCGCCCGGGGCAGGTAGTAGTCCAGCGGCGTGAGGTGACGCGGGTCGGTCCTGCCTTCTCTGGCTTCACCTGGGGTGCGTGCGGCGTGTTGACAATTCCATGCGCCCCTGCCTGGTGCGAATTCCCTGGCGGCTCCTCTTTGCCGAGCTGTTGCCGTAACAATGTCGTTCCTGTCCCTGCGAAGGTTAGTGGTTAGTCACAAGCAGCGTTCTCGGCTGCGGTGGGGTGTTGTGTTGTTTATCGTGTTGCCAGCCATCCGCTGCATCGTCACTAGCGCCGATTAGCGCAAACGGAAGGTTGGCGTTGGGCGGCGCACTGGTTGCCGAGGGGCTCTTGCACCACGGACACCTGAAACGTGCACGTCATGTGTCATCCAGAGCCCAACTGACAACAACAGGTGGACATGAAGGCTTGCGCAGGTTGCGACAGACCACGAATGTTGTACCTCCAGATCCACGATTGAACGACAGCGCTTGAAATTGCACAATATTACACAGTACTAAAACGATCCACCTATGCAGCCCAATACCCTTTGCGCCCCTCCCCAGATATATGCTTTTTAAACAAAAAACCCGACCATCTGTACGATCTGGACCATGAACGTTATTACACTGATTCGTAGCCCATTAGTTTTTACCACCCGTGACAGGCCCGTTGATGTTCTTTATGTCAACCTTTAATAGGGCATCTTTCGCCTGCTCTACTGCCTTGCTCGCTACCTCTTTCCCACTCTCCACCAGATCGCTGGCCTGTTGCGACCCACTCGCTGCAGCATCTTGCACAGTCGACGAGGCGTTTTCTGCTGCCTGGCTGCCCTCTGCGTATACTTCGCCAGCCTGCTCCTTGCCTGTCTCTACCAGTCCCTGTGCCTGGTGCGAGCCTTCCGCTACAACATCTTTGGCCTTCTCCACCGCCTGCTCTACTACTTCAGCGCTCTTTGCATACGCCTCTCCTGCCTGCTCTTTTCCTTGCTCGTAAACGTCCTGGACCTTTTCTGAAGCAGTCTTTGCAATCTCCTCTGGTCGAGGAGCCTTCTCCAGCGACTGGAGGACGACATAATACAGGTTGATGATGACCGCATGGATTCGATCCTTCATCAGCATTGTGATGCCGTGGGAGAAAAACCCCTTCAGGACTTCTGGTCCAAGACCCTGATATAATCCCCACAGGCCTTCAGTCTGTGCAATGCGGAAGATTGTGCTGAAGACGGTGCGTTGTCGTACTCGAGCAGTTCTTGATCCCAATGACTTCCCTGACTTATCCATCTCAGATGTCTCCCCAGTAGTTGCCGAAGGCTTCTGTGAAGACACCTGTGCTCGTGTCTTTGCCAGGGAGAACGGATACGTGAGTGTCGATGCCATTGCCTTGCTGATTGCGGCTACAAGGAATGTGATACGCGCACCAGGGTTATCCTGCTTTGCGTGAGGAACGAAGAGTCTCAGAAGAGTCTTGTGTAGCAACATGGTGATCGAGGGGTTGAGCGTCAGGATGAGGCTGGCCGAGTACCCTGACCAAAACCCTTCCAGGCCCTTCTCTCGGTAGATCCCGCGCGCAATGTCCTTCGTGCTAGACAGTGGTGGGATATCGTTTGCTGATTCATTCTTAGTCATGGCCGCTGTCTGCTTCCTCGTGACGATCTGTTGTATAGGCGTCGTGAAAAACTTTGAAAACGCGCCTGCCACCATACCAACCCCGATCTCTTCAAAGGCTCCCAAGTTCTTTCGCCCGCCCTGTGCGTTGAGCCTGTTCTGCCTCATGTACGAGTATGCAAGGAAAAACAAGAAGCTGTCCACGACCCCCTTGGCCGTCTCGTGCAGCGCTCCGCTGTAGAACGCTTTCAGGCCTCCTTCCCTCTCGTATATCTTCTCGATCGCATCGAGGAAACCATCGTAGTGTGTATGCGTATCACTGGGTTGAAGCTGCTTCTGGACTTGAAGACGCGTGATTATAAGATCGAGCGGATATGTTACGAGTTTCGATATGGCGGTTCCCGCAGCGCCTGATGTCGCATGGCCGAGGGCAGGGAGCGCGGGTCCGATCGCGCTTTGATGTCTACTCTCCTCGTTTGCTGCATGGTAATGGGTGAATTTGCCCTAAGAATGTCAACAGTGCTCTACGGGCCACGCGACGGACGCTTACGAGTTGCGAGTTGTAGACGTAGATGGTCTGGCCGAGGGTCGTCATGTTGCAAATATGTGAAGGATTAATAAACTGTTAGTTGGTAATAGGAGCTATATCGTTAGAGTGAATCAAATTAGCATTGAAGATGCGGAGAGAGCTCTCATGGTAGCTTGAAGAGGAGGCGCTGCGCTATGTGGACAGAGAAGACGTCACTCGGGAACGAGGCTGGAGTTTAGGGGCATAGCCGAGCTTAAAATTCCGCTTGTGATCGCCAACTCTTCATCCACCACACCTCGCCGACTACGACAACAACAGCCATGTGATGCCCGTCGATCTTGATGATTGCGCAAGTAGAAAGAGATGAAATGAACATCTCCATCAACACGCACTCAAGATCCGAAGGCGTGCGAAATGCTGTTGCAAGGAGTACTCAAAGGGACTGCGAGAGCTCCTCGTGGGTTATGATCGCAGTTCAAAGTATCCTCCAAGATAAAAGACGGACAGCGCTTAAGAAGATACGAAACAGACTCGTTCGCGAGGATGAAGTCTCGACTCTTATTGCTGTCCACATCACAAAACGCACCCGCACGAAGTTTGATCCCACTCTCATTGTCAGTACATGTACACCGCATGGCATTCTTCCACACCCACAGCAGGAACCAATCAGGCGGCAATAGCCTGTGTTTAGGTTTGCACTATTACGATCAATGGTCAGCCCCATCAATACGAAGAAACTCGATTTTGGTAACTGGACGCTTGGACCATAAATCTGACGATGCATGTCTGATCAATAAAAACGAACTTTCATAGTAGCAAGCACGTCTCCAAGACCTGTTTTAACCAACAGAAATGTGCCAAGCAAGCCACACCTCTTAATCGAGAATAGACTTTCTTAGCAATACCTATTGTTTCTTGGAATATCCTCTTCTCCTCATGTTTTCTACCCACTTCAAGTAGGAAAAGAACTAATTTTATGCGATACATTGGCCCAGAGAATAACACTCAGCCAGACCATACGTTTCAAACAAGAAATTTCTGTTCAGAAACAATGTATTGCTAGGGCTCGAAAAGGGTACCTTCCGGACGTGCTCGTTATCTGTCGCTTGACCATTGCAGTAAGCATTAGCGAGCTGCATTAATTCAATCGACCATCTCTAGCGAGGGCAAGGCCTTTAATAAGGCTGTGTCGTCCAGTTCAGCCTGACTTGCGGCGTGATTCAGCTTTACTATTTCGATGGAGTCTCAGTCAAACAGACACATCTACCAGCCGGTACAGCCACAGTCCTATGGGGTACCTCAATCCAGTGACCCAGCAAATCTACAACAAGAGAAAGGTGCAAGCTACACATACAACCCTGTCTATGAGTATTCCACTACAGACAACACGACCAGCAAGCAACAACACTTCTCAGGTTGGTGGGTTGGTTCTACCATCTTCTCTGTCTTAACTCTACTTGTACTTGTCAGCAATATCGCGATATCCGTCTACTGTGTACGGCGGTACGGCGGGAGCACAACAGCGAACTTCAAGCCCGTGTTTGTAGGAAGCTGTGCTAGAACAAAAGCACTCAACATTGGAGTACATCTAGTAATCAATGTGCTGAGTTCGGTTATGCTCACGGGCAGTAATTTTGCTATGCAGGTGCTCACTGCACCAACTCGAAAGCAAATCGACAATGCTCACGCACAGAAAATATGGCTTGATATCGGAGTTCCGAGCGTTAGAAACCTGAGGTCCATGGGGCATGGAAGAAGAGCATTGTGGGCTTTGATTTTACTGACGTCTGCTCCGTTACATTTGGTGTGAGTTGGGCTTTTACATGCAAAAGCACTTCGGGTTAACAGCTCTAGCTACAACTCAACCTTCTCTCAATCATGGACAAGGCAAGCGTACGAAGCAGCCCTTGTAACTGAAGATTTTCTGAACGGGGCCCCGTTCGATGCAGGTTACACGGAGCCTAATTCTTGGGACTCTGACCAAAGACGTCTTTTTGGTGAAATACAAAACAATGCGTCGACCTATCAGCGATTGGAACCTCTAGACTGTCTAAAAGCTTACAACAAAAAAGCCGTCACCGATCGAAAAACTGTTCTAGTTGTTACTTCTAGCGAGCGACCTTACCTCGGGGAATACTCCTCCTTTGGGTTGCAAAACACTACTCTCAATGACGGCAGCCCGAACCCCGTCTACGCGACAGCAGATTTTGTAGGGAATGAGGTTGCTGGAAATACGTGGGATTGGTTATGTGCGGAGACGGCGAGTTCTAACATCCCATGCGATTTGACAGATGTGCTCAGTGGCCGGGAAGAGTGGAGTCCATTCGCCTCCGGTATCACGGTAGACTATTGCCTGAGTGATCACGTCGGCGAAAGTTGCACTCTAGATTTTTGTAGGTTGCGCCATGCTATTGTATGCAATATTTGATACTGACAAGATAGCACTCGGGCTCATGGCTGTAGTCTGCATATGCAATGTTGTCAAGTTCGTTTGCATGTTTCTCCTTTGCGTCATGCGGTCCCATTCGCCGTTGCTGAACATAGGAGATGCAGTGTCATCGTTTCTGGATGTCGCAGACCCTGCTACCACTGGAATGTGTCTTGCTGGAAAGAAGGAAATCAATCGGTTCTGGAGCAAGAGAGGATACGCTAGGCCTGATACTTCTCTTCCTTGGACGTCCCCGTCTCCACGCTGGTTTAAAGCGTGTAGCGCATGGAGATGGGCTGTCTTCATTCTCTCGTGAGTTTGTCCTATCTGTTTCAGGCACTGACGCTAATACTAGAACATAGATCAACAATTTCGATTGCCGTTTCAATCTGTTTACTATCCATCGGCCTCAACGATGATCGCGTTTCCTACCACAAACAAGGGTGGAGTGGGACTGTTCAGCAAGATCCCTGGTGGAAGTCTGGTTTTGGCGTCGCCAATATCGATGAAGGCTCCCGATATGCGATAACATACGGGCATGAGCTTTACCAACCTGATCGACTAGTCGCAAACATTCTTCTGGCTAACTTGCCTCAGCTCGTCATCCCCTTTTTGTTTTTAGCGTAAGTCAACTAAGAATATCGACTCTTGCTTCACTCTTCTCACACGTGGAATAGATACAACAGCATCCTGACTTCTATGCTCATGGCGAAAGAGTGGTCCGAGTTTGGATATAAACGCAAATCTTTGCGCGTAACTGCACCATCTGGCCAACAACGCTCCACTTACTTCCTTTCACTACCCTACCGCTACGCTCTTCCACTTCTGTCTGCATCGATACTACTCCATTGGCTGACATCACAAGCTGTCTTCCTTGATCGTCGCATAGTGGAGTCGGTGTGGTGGGATTCTGTGTACGACGACAATACGGTCGGGAGCGTGGCTACGGTCGGCTACTCGCCTCTGGCTGTCTTGCTTTGTTTGGTAGTTGGGCTTCTCATGGTGATGGCACTTGTCGCTTTGGGATTTCGAAGGTACCAGCCTGGAATCCCTCTTGCTGGTAGTTGCAGTGCTTCTATCAGTGCGATGTGTCATCCGCTTCCTGGTGAGTCTGAAGCTGCTACACAAACATTGCTTTGGGGAGTCGTATCGACAAATGGGTACGGGCTGGGTCACTGCGCGTTCTCCAGTCGCGATGTGTGGGCGCCGCAACCTGGAACCCAGTATGCTGGGTTGTGAGGATACATGTCCAAAATCTACAGGATGGCCTGTGTGACACGACAAATCACGAAGACACAACAATGACGCGAGGATACCGCAGGCTTCAGGAGTAAACGAGAGTGTTGGGGTTTAAATTTGTAACCACGATAAGCAAAGTTCCAACCTCAGATCCAGATGCGTTTGACGATCGAATATGCTTGAAGACGTTGTCCGTGCAGTTCAATCGCGGCCATGCTTTCCTTTCCTCGTCACGTCACTTGACACTATTATACCAAGAATAAGCAAGCACACAGAGACAGCTATAAACGTAACTGCTACCATCTTGCAACAGTGACGCTGATTTGCCCTCCGTTCTCTTGCTTCCAGCCGGACATCGCACTGCTCGCAGTGGATGTGTGGTTGCATAGTGTGTTCCAGTACACTCTGCGCGATTGTCTCTGGTGGAGTGGGCATATAGTCGTGGGTATTGGAATGCGCGTGTGTTTCGACATCGTCTTCTTGCGATACCGCTGCATACTATTTGTCGAATTAGATTGAATTTACTTCGGTTGGTTTTCGAATGGAGCTTACAGCGGAGGTCATTCCAGACGGAATAAACCGTTTCATAGGATGCTCCTCCTGAACATAATCGTAGGCAGGAGCTGCCTCTTGCATCGTCGTAGAGTCGTTCATTGCTGACTTTCCTCAAGGCGAACAGTAAAATCAGTAGTCGCAGTAGAAGCAGCGCTTTCTCCCATGGAGAGGTTCGCTACCCTATGTATACTGATAGGACGCCTGAAAAGCAACGTCACGATCTGGGCTGTGTCGCAGTGTTGCCTAGCAGCCACAAATCACATCCTCATCACATTGGTCACACCATGGTGGCTTGGTGGCTGAGCAGTCGTTTCGCATGTAAGCGCTAGTCGTGTAGGGTTGTGGCTTGCGGGTAAATTCAACGGCAACGGTCGACAACATCTTTGTCTTGAACATGCGAAGACGACTAGTCAATTTCTCGAAGTCCGCGCTGTATAGAGCATATGTTTATGTCAACAAAATATAATGTCATTCCTGAAACGTTGTGTCGGTTTCGACGTGTACGCGGCATTGCGATGACCGGGAAAGGGTAACCGGGCGGCGGACGATTTGTACGACATGGATTCGATAGATGCAAATGCGACGTAGAGACAGCAACGGCACGCATTTGTTAAGTACTTTCATACAGAATGAGACTTGTTGTCATGACGAAATGCAAGACTGCAAGACCAGATGTTTGTGAGAAGAGATCATTGGTTAAAGTCGTGATCTAACCAATAAGAGGCTACTAAAATGCCAACGCTCCTGCCCTGTCGAGCCTAGCTCAACCGCTCTTTTCCCCAGTATTCCCGTCTCCGTTTGATGGGTGTACCGTTTCTCGAGGATCTGAACTGCGGGCCTTTTGTCCATTGCGCGAATTTCCCTCGTCATCGCGCGATGAAGCTGGCTTATCCGGCTCACATGCATCCTACCGACGCGTCATACCGACGCATCGGGCCCTTGCACGCTCTTGTTATGCCGACTTGGGTTGTGTTCCTTTCTACAAGTCCTCTCAAGCTTCACATTGCCTGACAAGCAACGACAAGCTTTCGGGCGCTCGGGACAGTGGGTGCTTGACGTACATATATCGTTTTTAGTCTAACCTCGTCAGAGACTCATCGACAATCTTCATCGAATCACGAATGGCAAACATGTATCCGAGTGCAAGGATGATGTAGTGTACCTTATTGTGTGGGTCGGTCCAACCTCGAACAGGAAGGTGGAAGTCTATTGCTCAGTCACTGTAGGCGTCATCTCACTGTGTTTACACTCCTCATCCTATCAATGAACGGCTTGTCATCGATAGCAGGTTCGCGGCCATCATACTGATCCAACTTATCCTGGACTCTGTCGTATCTCCGACTATGGCCTTCTGCTTTTGGCCAAGTGTTGAGCCGCATGCTCAGAAATGTTGGCATGGGAGCGAACCTTCAAATACCGGCGCAAGACCAGCAATCCTGATGCATCCGTTGATCAAACTGCAAGATGAAGCTCACCACGCTTTTCGGCACGCTGCTCTGTGCTTCCACAACGCTCGCTGGCAATTCGCCACACAAGCGCAATGTTTTCGACAAAGTGAAGCCAATGAACAAGGCTAACTCGATCCTCGACAAACGCGTACCAAACCAGCCCATCCTCGAGCGACGCTCGGCAAATGAGCCTTTCAAGAACGCAGAACTCCAAAAACGAGCATCTCGTTTCTTGACAGACAAGACGGAAGGTTGGTGGATGGATGACGATGCATCCACACAAAAGCTAACCACTCATTAGCATTTGCCGTCAACGGTACTGGAATCCCGGAGGTGCCATTCGACATTGGCGAGTCTTACGCTGGGCTTTTGCCCATCTCTGACAGCCTCAACGAGACCCGCAAGCTGTTTTTCTGGTAGGCGTTGCGCCTTGTGTCGAAGGTTGTATGTGCTAACATGACCAGGTTCTTCCCTTCCACACTTGAGAACGCACCGGAAGAAGTTGTGATCTGGTAAGCTTGCCAAAGACATATCATTTTGAAAACCAATCTAACCGTAGAATCAGGCTCAATGGCGGACCCGGCTGCTCGTCCCTCAGCGGACTTTTGACCGAAAACGGGCCTTTTACTTGGGAAGCAGGAACCAATGCTCCTGTGGCAAACCCGTATTCGTGGACTAACCTAACCAACATGATCTGGGTAGAGCAACCAGTCGGCGTAGGATACTCACAAGGAACCCCTAATATCACCGACGAAGTCCAGCTTGCAACCGAGTTCCGGGGTTTCTGGAAGAGCTTCTTTGATACCTTTGAGCTTCAAGGCTGGAAGACGTATATTACCGGAGAATCTTACGGGGGTTACTACGTACCGTACATTGCCGATGGCTTCATCGGTGCCGACGACGACCAGTACTACAATCTGGCCGGTATCTCAATCAACGACCCCATCATTGGAGACGAGACAATCCAGCAGCAGGTTGTCATTCTGCCTGTGAGTCGCTGTAGCTCTACAAAGTCGTAGTCTTACTAATTTCCTGTCCAGTACGTCGAATTTTGGCAAAACCTGATGTTCTTGAACGACTCGTTTATGTCCGATATTCGCAAGCATCAGGACGACTGTGGATACACGGATTACCTTGACACATACTTCAAGTTCCCGCCACCAAAGGGACCATTCCCAGTGCTTCCTGATCCATTCTCCACGGATAACTACACATGCGACCAGTTTGACAACTTCTACAGCGCTATTCTGGAAGTCAACCCATGCTTCAACATCTACCACATCACCGAGACGTGCCCACATCCATTCTCCCAGCTCGGCATAGTCAACACTGGTGACTACCAACCGCCCGGTGCCGTTGTCTACTTCAACCGCACTGATGTACAAGAGGCTCTTCACGCCGTAGTTGGCACGAACTGGGAGCAGTGCACCAACGTCAACGTTTTCGGAAACGGAGATGATTCTGGTTCAGATACCTCCGTCGGTCCTGCCAACAACGGTGTCCTGCAGCGCGTCATCGAATACACGAACAACACGATCATCGGCTCTGGTGACCTTGACATGCTGCTGAGCACCAACGGAACTCTCTTTGCCATCCAAAACATGACCTGGAACGGCGCTCAGGGTCTCAGCAGCTACCCAGCTACTCCACTCTACGCCCCGTACCACCCCGAGTACAACGGTGGAGCTTTGGCAGGCGCTGGTATCCAAGGTGTCTGGACTCAGGAGCGTGGAATGACGTTCTACACTGCTCGATTGGCTGGACATGAGCTGCCTGGTGTAAGTCTTGACTTTCCGTTAACTGCTAGAAATCCCCAGCTAACATAATGACAGTACACTCCCGGCGTCGCTTACCGCATGTTGGAGATTCTGCTTGGAAGAGTAGACGACTTCAGCAGCACTCAGAGCTTCACTACCCAGACTGGCAACTACACCGGCAACGGTACTATTTACAAACGTGGTATCTAGATAGTGGATATGCCAGATCGAGGGTTCGAAGGGTAGAGCTTGTACGACACGATGCGAGATGTCGCGCTGCTGTACGAATAAACGTTAATACGCAATTATGATTGTATACTTGACCTTTCTTGATATTGGTGAAAATGTGACTTTCAAATTCAACATCCTGACGACCGTAATCATCTGAGTTAATTCGTTGAGTGTTACTATTTGCAAATGAGCCTAGTTTTGTGGAATCCAAAGACAACCGCTATCGCAGCCGTACCAGATGTTGAATCGTGCAGTCGAAGCTAAACACCGCGAAACATTTCAAAAATTTGGATATAATTTTTGATCATTTTCTTTCTTCCATCAATTCTCGGGTCGTATAGTGGTCAGTATTTCTGCTTGTCATCAGACAGTTCGCAGGAGGCCGGGGTTCGATTCCCCGCTCGAGAGTCTTTTTTTTGCCTTCTTTTTGCACGGTCTCGCTTGTACTGTGGTTACTGTTTGCTGCTTGAGAGTTTATGTTTTGCCGCATGCCACTGTCAAACCGTGTCGATGTCTGACCTGTTCTCCATCAGCTGATAGGACGGTTGATGATCGACGACCCGTGCGCCGGATTAGGGCACCGGACCATAGTAGTTCCAGCTACCCATCTTTCAAGGTCAGATGACAAGGGTTTGTCCTGCATCTCCAGTTGCAGATTCTAAACGAAAGCGTGGACCACACTGCGGGTCTGAAAGGGCGCTCAACCTACCCACACGGCTATCATGCGAGCTTGTCTTGTGCATTGAGGCGGGTGGTACTCCCTTGGGAACACTAGAACTTGAAACACACCCTCACGGCACTTCAAATCACTATCCATCAGTGTATCCGATTTGACCACGCTAGCGACTTGCAAGCGAGCGTAGAACAACATGAAATTTGCGCGGAGGTAAGCTCTGTTGCGATTAACATGATATTCATGTCGTAGAATACATTCAGACCTATACTTACCAAGAATCTGGTACACCAAACTACGTTATGATTATCCACAACCTCCGAAGAAACATTGTCTTAAACGATGTCGATGGCTTTTGCTTGGTGCTTCGAAAGCGGGTCTGAATGAAACAGGACAGGATACATTCTACGAGGCTACCAAGATCTGACTGTCGCGAACAGCTCGTTGCTTCCAATTAGCAAGTCAAACCTGGCTTCGGAGAAGAAACATCGAATTGAGCTCCCTTACACTTGATTACTATCTTCCGCATTGTCATAGTGTATCAGAAATAGTCGTTGTTATGTTTTGTCAGTCACCGACATACGACCCCTCAATCCAACAGGAATTGGGCTCTGACGTTGGGCTTGTTGAAACGTTGGCCCTTCCTTCTCAATCATCTATTCAGAATCCTTGGAGGCTTGGCTGTTATATCAGCCCATCCTACAAACTCCGTACAAATTTGATCCACAGTTACGTCATTCCATTCCTTTGCAGTCCCAACCTAAACTCGGGGTTGGGCGTGATTGACCTCCAGCACCAACAACACAGCAAACACGTGGCGGTGAAGTTTTCAATCTGGGCGTGAACATTGTAAAGTATGGTCGCACGAATAGAACAGAAGCATCAGCACTAGAGCCATGTAGCGGCTTCGATCAAGATTTGGCGCTGGCAATTCATCGGTGGGATTCCAGTATGCAGGGGATGGTTGCAACATGCAGGGTCTACGATGTCAGTAGAATCCTGAGCCTTATGGAAGTCATGCCATGGCTCTGGGAGAAAAGTGCCGAGCGGAAGGATCCTCAAGTTAGCATGACGTAGCAGAGTAGAAGCATTGCTGGAAAACGTTCCCAATCTACAAAGGGTGCGGCCGAGAGCAATTTGGCTATACGGTGTATACGATGAGTCACCGCCCTCCTAATGTAGACTAGCGTCTTACTTAATAAGCTAATTAATTAATCTTATTTTAATTACTACCTAACAACTTTATAATACTATTACTAAATACCTTAATACTAACCTTAATTTTATTTTTAAATAACTATACTAAAGTCTAAAAATACTGTAGATACCTCTCTAGTAGTTTAGGGGGCTGTTATTATATTAAACACAGTTTCTAGATCTATAAATAATAAAATTATAGATATTTTACCTATCTTATTAAGCACTGTTTCTAGCGTTTTAAAATAAGCTTATAAGTATACTAATAACCTAACTAATTTTATATAACTTCTCTAAACTATACCTTATTACTATAAATACCTAGGCAAGAAGCCTTATATTATTAATAGCTTAAAGGAGTTAAAGAAAATCTAAACAGTAATTATAAACTACTTATATAAGAAGATATATATAGCTACTACCCTAGTACTAGAGGAGCTTAGTTTAAGCTTACTAGTATAATTTACTGTTAAGTATATTACTTACTATTACTACAATAAAGAGTATAATTATAAGATTATTTAATATATTTAGCTAAAAAAAACAGTACTTAATAATTATAATAAGAAGCTATAATGTTAGTACACATTATAGCTATTATAGATATAGGCTATATATAAGCTCTTATATAAGGTTATATTTATCTCCTATAATAAGACCTTAAAGGCTTTTAGTAGTGTTAATTACTTAGGTAGTAAACAGAGATTTTTATACCTTAAGGGCTGTAAGATTAATACTAATAAGCATGCTTTACCTATTATTAAGCTATACTTTAAGCTTATAATTTATGCTACTACCTTAACCTATATATACTACTTACTACGTTACCTGTATATTATTTAAACTTTACCTAATAAAAAAGAGTAAGAATAAATTAAGTAAAGCGTTAATAAGAAGAATTAAACTATAGGCCTCTACGTAGGCTACTAGCAATAGTGTATACTTAAACTAGGTACCTAGGAGTACTCTAAACTTTAAGTAATTAATAAGAAGATTAATAATTATAATACAGCCCTTACTACTAAGAAACTTAAATAAGCTTATAAAGCTAGCTTTTATAACTGTAAGAAGCCTAAGGTAGTCTTTAAAGCTAAGCTCTACTCTTATAAGTAGTAAAAAGGAATAAACGCTATTTAGTATACTAAAAATATCTTTAAGAAGTACCTAATTAAGTACTATAAAATAGTGCGTAAGGAAAATCCTAGGTATTTTATATTCTTTATTAAAGATAACGTTAAGTTATACTATACTACTTAATAGTACCTTACTACTTCTATTAAAGAAGCTAATATATAATTTACTTCTTACCCTCCTTAGTTACCTAATTTATACCTAATTAAGTACTGTTTTAGTAAACTTAAAAGTTTCTTAACTTACTATAACGTAAATAGTATATTAAAGGAGGCTAAGCTTAAGGCTAAGCGTTAGGTATAACTATTATAGTAATTTAATCTAAAGCTTTACAATTATATAGAGAAGTAATTTAAAATAAAATTATTTAAAGACTTAGTACGTAAAGTACTTAATTATAAAGGTAATAATAACTTTTTAAAATAACTATAGTTATTGCTAGCTTTAAATTTAAGCTTAAAATCTTTATAATTCCTATACAAATAACTGTTTATGTAAGGATTTAGCAGAATCTATTAATGCTTACTAGAACAGGGTAAGATTTTTGAGCTAAGACGCTACCGTATACACCGTATAGCCAAATTGCTCTCGGCCGCACCCTTTGTAGTCTACAAACGAGTCTTGCGTTCTGAAGGAAGATGGTGACGTAGTCGGTGTGGATCTTCTGTTACATTTGAAGACTAGGTAGTGACGGCCACCATAGTAGACGCGGCAACTAGGAGGGGTCGGTGGCCTGTCAGATTCGCGAGCATGAAACGATCGGATGCATCAACATTTGTAAAATCAACGACCCGTGTACAAACGCGCTCGTCCCAAAACGGTAAGGTGGACATGCCAGGCCGACAAATATGGCCGACGCCCAGTGCGGGTAAATAAAAAGCCCGATGTCTTCCGGGTAGGTAGTTCAAGCGGTGAGCGCCTCATACGCAAGCAATCGATCGGTTTAGAGCTGTTCAAGACAGGACCGGAGTTCATCCGAATGGCATGTGCGATCATGGAATTTGCTTGCGTCACAACGAGACCCACTGGCATGGCATTTGAAGATCTTGATGTGTGATTAGGTAATTCTCATTCCTGGAGTAGGAGATAGTATGAGGTTCAGTCAAGGTGGTTCGTCTGACCCTCTCTGACGGCCGTCCTCCGGAAAGGCGGTGTACGCCAACGAAAACATGGAAGACTAGAGGAAGAGACTCTACGATCAAACGTACGGATTATCGGTGTCGTTTTCGGCCTACTTCGGATACTAAAGATAAACTACAGCTTTTGGACATCAGGTTGACGTGAAAGTTGGCCGAGCGAACAGACGGTAGCAGGGCAAGCTGGTTGTTCAAATCTTGCTTACCGTGAGACCTACCACACCGTTAGCTTTGTAGTAATGGAAGCTACAGGCAAAAAATGGAGCATCGACTGAAGGGTGATCAAGTCAGCTTACGCGGTGACTCACAAATTGTTAGTAGCCTAGCACTGTGCTCTTGTCGACGAGGTAGACGTTCAATGAATGCACAGGTGTTCTCCATAACGTAGCGATACAGCACTCCAAAATCGCGGGTTTACAATTTCGACACTCTTGAAGGGCGGTTGTAATTAATTGCTTGCTTTGCCCAAGCAAGACAAAGAATCGGAAAAGTGTCGATGGCGGTAAGCTGAGTATGTGTCCTTCATGAAAAGATGGCTCCACGTCCAAATGTGACTCTTGAACCTGTTCGCGAGTCTGGCCCACGCGCCGTGAGACTGTCACGACTACCAACAAGCTCTGGTAAGTATGTCCTAACTTGTTTTACCCTCAACTTCAGTATCTGGCAAAGCAAGATATTTCGCGTATGCTACGGACTACTCAGACAAAGCGGGGACGAAAGTATCGAGGCCCAAGTGACACAGTCATGAAGTGTTTGACTTCTTAATTAGATATTGGGAGCCGGGGCTTGAAGCTGCGCGACACACGACAATACGAGCCTCAAACTTGGAGGATGACTGGTTTCGTAAGCCGAAGTACGAATACTGGTGGTGGGGACAGCCACACGCCGGTGATGTTTACCGGACGACGACACCTACTGACAGTTACATTGTCCTATCATGTGGCGATTTAGTTAATCGGTTCGTCGTCCAAGAACCTTAGCCTAGGAAGAAATTGCTTCCTTGAAGCCCCGGTGGCCAAAACAGGTATTGTGGCGATCATTTTTGGCGTACCTGGTCAGGGCTGGCCGGCATTTGACGAGGAACACTGGAACAATAGGTCAGATGATTGTGTCCAATACTTGATACCTCTAGCACTGTTCATGATTAAAAGTATAGTTGTAATGTTTTTGGTAGCTCGCGCAAACGTCCTGTTGTGGTGTGCTGGAAGTCGCGTCAAGCGGGGCTGATACTTTTTACTAGAACAACTTCATGATCCGTTGATGTTCAAAACGCTGTAGGATGGTGACTGAAGATTGGAGTTGGTTTGCTAGGCTGCATGTACCGAACGGTTCGCGCGAGCAGCCTCATCGCCTTCGAGGTGTGGTACGCAGACTAGATGCAACGCGCTCAGGGCGCCACTCACCGTCTGTCAGCTCGTCCGAAGTTGCGAACGAGGGTGTGGTGGGATATTGGGGTGCATGGCGTGGATGAGGCTGGGTGTTGTCCACTCCGCTCTTAGCGTCGCACCTCCGAAGCCCAACTCTGGGCTTTGTCGCATATTTCCTTCGTCCTCGACGCCTCGCTGCACCTTGCTAATTCGTGCTGTCGTTCTCCACCAGGCGACGGCCTGGCAGTTAGCTGCATCGATCGGCGTTGCCTGCATCAACGGTCGTCCTCTCCTCCATGCTGCAACACCTGGTGGGCCACATTGTGCATGGGACTACAGGGGGGCTGCAGATGATGGCTGCAGGGTGGGTGGGAGAGGTCATCTGTATGGTTGCGTGCGCACACGGCCTGTCATGCCTTTGCCCTGCGCCTTAGAACCTTGCTCTTTTCGTCCACGCAGCTAAGCTTTCCACCATGTCCGCTAACGCGGGTCCAAAAGACACCATGAGGGATGCGCGTCTGCTGGGCTATCACGCCTTTGCATTAACATAAGTACTGCATGCTTCCTCTTAACTATGGTTATCGATCGATGATACTCGGCTACCTCACTCCAGTATCCAGATACCCTAACCTTCCCACCGCTTCCTATTGCCTCTTCTCTCTTCCCTCCCAACAGGCAACACTCTCATAGCCTCTTCAGGTTTCATCGCCCTCCCATGGTATGACTCTAAAAAATATATCCTGCGCCCGCATCACACATATAAGTCCCACGAGGCCCGCATGACAACTGGCGAAACTACAAAAAAATCTCCCAGTCGCGGCAGCATTTCTTTGCTTGCCGAAAAGTGTTCCCACGCTGTTTGCTCGTTTAGCTGGTCGTGATTCAGCAAGGGAGAAACGGATTCTGAATAACATCACTACCATCAAGATCGAGCCAAGCCCCAAACCATCACCACCTGTCCGCCGCTCTTCCCGCCTTCAAACTCTCAAGAATATCATCACAGCAATGCCATCCTACTTGCGGAGCCCCCATAGGTCCTTCTCATTTCCACCATGCATTGATGGTGTTGACATCCAAGACTCGAGCGAGGACGGTCTCCCAGATATCGACGAGGAACCATTTGCTCACTTCCTTACCCCACTCTCTGAGGAAGATGACCCATACGACCCTTTCTCCTTCAACGCAGGCATCATCAGCCAGAGTGGGCCACGCACAAACAAGGTCACCAAGTTCAAGTCTAACGTCGCCGACAAATGGGCTCGATACGTCAAACAAGATCATGCTCCACTCCATGAGCAGTACCATAGCCCTGCCTATCCCGAAGATGACGAAGAAGAATCGTTCATGAGCCTCGATGACGATCGCTTGTATGATGCGCCGCAAGCCGTGACGCATATCACTTCACCAAGGATCACCATCACTGAGCCTTCTCGAGGCCGCGACCAAGATCTCATATCTCGCAAGGTGCAGAATCGTCGCCGGTATTCAAGAACCTTATCTGGGCATCGACACTCATGGAGAGAACCCAGTCCCGAACTATTCACCGTGGACGAGTCAGAAGAGGAAGAGACGCCTGTAGTCAGACGCCAAAAGACAAGAAAGGCCAAGGATGGCGCGGACCGCCGGAGGTCATCAACGAGATCAAGATCAAGAATGAGGGGAGACCTGAGTGAGAGGGCCAAGCTATGAGAAGGGGGTGCATTCGCTTGGGACATGCCTCTGATGGAGAAACAAGAGACTGGTTGCAAGGTGGAGAATATGGGAGCATTTGCATTGGGCGGTGTCAGGGTGTCATCATTTTCATCGTAACTGCATTTCAGGGCGTTCGTGGCTGCGATTGCATCGCATCGCATAGCATTGCTGGCGTTATTAGTGTCTTTCTTACTTATCTAGCATTTCATGGCGTTTCTGGCATTGCCCGATTTGGTATACTTCGGCCGAAGCATTAGGGCGGCGTTGGGAAATGGGCATTTACACGGTACAGGTGTTGCATCGATCTCAGAGCAAGAATATATCACATCTCATCTTCATCTTTGACATTGCCCTTCTCTTCATGACCTTCACGCCATCTCAGCAATCGAACCATCCAAACTTCCAGGACATTCCACGTTCACACTGTGCATGGAAGACATGTGCACCTGCCCCCACCACTGGACCCACTATAACGACACTAAAACTGCACATCATTGTTAGCGCAAAGTACCGTGACCTCAATGCGCATCTATCGCGGCCTCATTCTGGTCTGTGTGGAGAAGCTTTCGCGCCGTTACCGCTGCGAAAATCCTAGCTCCGTAGGTAGACGGATTTGTTCGGACATCGGCACTGCGCAAACAGCTCATCCTGCGCGCTTCCATCCGCGATGTTTTCATTTCTTCTTCCACGAGCAGCATCTGACCTGTTGCCACTCCCTCTGTACGAGGGCATTGTGGAGTTGAGGCGCTCGAGGACTGATCTCGCCTCACCTGTCAGTCCAGAAGGACCTCCAAAAACAAAAGGCCATCGCGCCTGCCGGAAGACCCTGAGTGCTGATCTCGTCTCGCAAAACGAGGGGTTGGACTGCAAGAGTGTCGATCTTATCGTTGTCCGAGACAGGAAGTGCGTGATAGGCGGCTGGAGTAAATACGGGGTTTCCCTTTCGGCAATACGGCCCTATCACGGGGAAATGCATGTGACGGGCTCTTTTTTGCAAGAATCCTTAGAGGGGTCCTCGGAGGAGGGCAGCGCGGTTGCCGCTTGGGCAACAATCAGGATATACCCTTGAAGAGGGAAATATTCGACATCGGGCACGTTTTGTTTCGACATTGCTGAAAGCTTGGGGCAGAGGTTCGTTGCCCGCTATTAAGGCGCTGAATCGTGTATACTATTACTTGTAAGCGACTAATGCGCAAGACGTGGTATAATCAGGCCATCACGATTCAAGCTCAGAAGGATCAAGTCGAAGCACAACCATGTCAATTGTGTAGAGTAGCTGCATGTCATGACGCCATAGTATCTTGGTACAGGATCGTTATTGCTAAAGGTCTATCTGTAGAAGCATTTTGTTGACGTAGAAGTCGTATCTAGTGTGTAGAGATCGGGCAAGAATGGTCGTGTTATTGAAACCGCTAGTACTGTGAAACACAAAGTTCTCTTGAGAAATGCATGTATACGAGAAAGTAGCTCTGGACGATACGATGTCTTGGTGTTGCAGTGTCTGCCACATTGGTGTAGGGGAATGAATGTACAATGACATAGATGTATGCGTGTACGTCTCCACTTTGTAGCGCAACCGGGGCAGTGCTTCGTTGTGGACGTATGCGAGATGATCGTTTTCGCAGGATCTCGGGGGGTCGAAGCGCAGCGATTGGTACGAAGACGCGAGACTGAGGGTGCTCCCAACCATGCAAAGAGCGCCTTGGGTCCTGGAGTTTGCCGTCTCCACACTCACGTTTGTACGATTTCGAAACGGATGAATGCAATGCCCTTGTCGATTTACCTATACGTGTATCCACCTCTTCCTTAACGTGTATTCGGTAATTTGCCGATTTGTTGCTTCACTCACACCTCATATCGCGCCGTCGACCATTCCTCCAACACCCCTCAACATATCTTATCCCCACGCTGACCTCCCTCTCAACTTGACGCTTGCTTCCTTATCTCCTCTCGTCCCTCCCGTCCAACCAACTCGTGCAATTGACACACCTCTTGGCTTTGTCGCTGATGTACTTCCTACAGAATTTGCACTTCACTTGTTTCTTCACGATGTTGTCCCCACTCGTCCTGGAGTAAACCATCGCAATAACCCAAAGACTAATCGCGATGCACAAGAATCTCACAAGCTTATCGAAGAAGCTGCCATAAGCGAATACAACAGCGCCGTCAGATAGCGCCTGCTCGACGGTATTGTAGCCGTTGCTAACGGTGCCGTTGTAGTTGGGGCCATGCTTGAGGATGGCAAATTTCTCGTCCAGGTTGCGTGAGAGGAAAGGGAGGAGCGAGATGATAGGGAGGATGATGTCCGAGACGAGGGAGTTGGCGCATGAGGTAAATGCTGCTGCAAGACTGGTTCAGGTCAGTGTCTGATTCGAAGAAAGAGTGGGAGATGCCTACATCAAGCCTACGGCAACTTCGAGCACATTGTCGCGTAACGCGAAGTTGCTGAAGCTATCCCATACGCCGGAAGTCTTCTGGCGGACACCTTGCTCGGCGTCGCGCAGATATTGCTGTGTGTTTTCGTCTAGACGGGGCATGTTGGCGTACTGGAGGAAGAGTGTCGTTGCAAACGGTGTCTGAACGTACTGGACGTAGCGTGAAGTAGGGTACGGTGAGTGATGCGTGTCACGAGCGACGTCATCGTAGCGCGTGATGTCGCGACCAATCATACCGGATTAACAAATAACAAAAGTAAGAAGAAGGAAAGTAACCAATGTCATCTCAAAGTCTATACATATACAATAGATGTGTAAATGCAGTTCTTGCTATGCAAATCGCAAAAATGTCCTCTACATGGAATTGAACTCCCCAAACCGAACAGATACCTTCAACACCGTAATTCAGGGTATAAAACATCACGACCCAATCCCAATCTCGTATCCAAGTAAGACTTCTGTAGTGCTTCCTTCCCACCCTCTGTTGCCACCCGTTGATATCATAAACGTGCATGTCGGGTCTAAGTATAGTTGCGAGACGACACCAGTTCGGTGTCCGGGCACAATCAGAAACGGAGTCGCGGCGGTCTTAGCACCTGCCTCCTGTTGCGTCAGGTCATAGAGTCGGAGGATATCATACGAAGCACTATGATCTATTAGTGTTGTCCCGTTAATGAGTGCAAGCAGAAGACGTACCAGACGAGGTGCTTTCCGTTGGGCATTGCCCGTACAGCACTCACAACTCCGCTGACACTTGGGAACCTGAAGGTTCTTCTGGGTTCTCGCAAGCCCTTGTGTAAGCTGTACTCATCCACAGTGCCATTTCTTCTGCCTGCATATATAAAGTTGCCGTCTGGTGACCAGCAAGCATTCATGCACCAGGGAGGCGTGTTTCTTGGTGGTGATATACGCGCAACTGGATTCGGCTGTCGGCGGTCCCATATTCGCAATGTGCCGTCCATGGAGGCGTCCATGAACGTTGTTTCGGAGGAAGCAGGCTGTTCAGCTTGACCGTGGCTTGTTGTGCCAACCGAACTTGCAGTGATTGTGTTAGATTCGTCGTCATGCATCACGCCATTCGCGGTACTGTCCGATTGATGGTCTGCAGCTCCGTTGGTCAACTGAGCCGTCTGGGTCTCCGCTTCAGCGTCTTGTACAAGTTCGGCTGGTTGCTCGGAAGGAGCTTGGACAGGACCGCCCAGGTCCATCATGTCGAGGTCGCCCGGAGCATCATCATCGGCTTGTTGGATACCGTTGGCGATGGCTCTTGAAAACTCGTCATCATCGTCTCCAAATGTAGGAATTGCAGAGGAGGGGTTGTTGTCTTGACCGTCGCCGAACAAAGAGTCCTTGTCCCCGAACAACGAATCATCTGGCGAGCCTTGCGCATCCTCGATGCCATTCTCTTCTCTCGCTTGCACTGGGCGTGCTGTTGTCTCGATGCCGTTTGCAAAGCTGCCATTCGCTCGTGGTCGAGAGGCGTTATTCGAGGAATAGGTGCCGTTCGACTGAGGCAGCGTATCGGTGTCTTGAGGGATCGGGAGAGTCGATAGCGGCCGTTGCTCGATGGCTGAGATTTGACCACCACTAGATTCAAACTTCCTCTTCACTTGTCCGGTATTGAGGTCCCAGTCGTTGATCGTTTTGTCCCAGCTGCCGCTCAGGACTGATGTCTCGTCTTGTGACAGTGTCAAAACCGACACGGCTGAGGTGTGATCTCGCAATGTGTGTATGCGCTTTCCCTCTTCATGGCGCACTGACTGTAGATTGATACCGCCAGAATCCAGACCTGACAACAGCCACAGAGCCTGGTGGTGCACCGCAAGTGAGTATACCGGAGACAGGCTCTCGGAAGCTCCTGAGCTGTCCTCGTTCTCCCAATACGAAAGGAGCACGCCCGCTTTTGTGACTGAATCCACAAAGGGATGTCTCTGGGCCACGGTGAGGGCGAGCTTTCCATTCGCAGTATCCACCCAATTGAACTTCCTGATGTACCCGTCTGCGCCCCCGCTGAAAACCCATCGCATGTCTGGCGTAGACGTGATAGCGTTGATTGAGGTGCTATGCGGAGCGGCTATTGTTGGGATGATATCGTAAACGGGGGCATTGAGAGCCTCTTGACGCACGCTGGGTCGGAAGGGTAGGTTGCCTAGAACACCCGACGCGGCCGCCCGAGGACTGGGCGATGTACGGGTGAGAGTGGGGTTGGTATCTGAGGGATGAGGGCTTCTGCTTCGCGGCTGCTGGGAGGGACTGTCGGGCTCGTCTTGGTCCTGATCTTGGTCTTGGTCCTGGTCCTGGTCTTGGTCCTGATCTTGATCTTGATCATCGTCGTCGTTGTCCCCCTCCGCATCGTCGTCGTCATTGTCACCGTCGCCGTCGCCGTCATCCCCTTCATCCCCTTCATCGTCGTCGTCTACGTCCATGGCATCGTTCTCCTCTGCCTCGTCTTCCTCCTCGGCGGAGCCTGGTTAGCGCAGTTAGTTGGGTAGTCGCTGGGGGGAGACAGACACGTACTGGCGCCATTCTCATAGTCATCCTCCTCGTTCATGCTGCTCCCACGAGCTTAGCGGCGCATGCAAAAGTCCGTGGCGCGCGAATTGGCAGCTTCTGGACAGTCGGTATTGCAGTAGGAACATGCGCCCATGTCGCGTTACGCTCGTGTCATCCTTAGCGTCCGTGGGTAAGCGACAACCGCGACCACTTCGAGTCCAGGACCTTTGCACCATCTTTCCGGTATTTCCAAGAACACCCATCTAGCTCGCCCATGTCCCTGATTTGAGCAAAGGGACCAGCAGTGAAGCCCCTACGGCCTAGAGGTGCTTGCTCCGCATCTGAAACATCTCCAGCCATGTCGCAGAAGCACTCTCATCGCAGCTTTGCTCATCTGGATGACAATCAATTGCTACAGCGCTTGATGTTTTGTCGTAGATGACTGGTAGGCTTTACAACTACAATGTGGTGTGCAGAGCGCATTCACCTCATTCTAGACTGCCAAATCTTCGTATCCAGATTACGTCCCACGGTAGGTCTTGTATCCAACCTCGTAGATTCATACATCATCGTAGACTGTTTTCAATTTCTAGTCCCATCTCTTTAGCTATGTTTACACTTCCAACATGTCTTTACTGTGTATTCTCTTGGTGTCTCATTTTCATGAGCACCCAAGCACAAGCTCGTTCTCACAACCTGCTTTACATTGAATGTGGGCCGCTTGCGGCTGTTTGTCTACCCACTGATTGTTGTCATGTCATTTTATTGCAGCTGAAGATCAAAGCTAGGTGAGAGCAATCTACTTCGAAGACGAGCGGCTTTCCGTCCAATCCTCCAGTCCTTTTTATCCTAGGCACAGACAGGTACATTGACCGTATCACCTTCATCGCCAACGTTCTGTTTTGAGTAATTTCATATTGTTGTGAAATATCGGTCAGCTGGTGCGTTTGTTGTGTCCGGGAAGCGACTTCCGTCCCTGGCTGATCAACGTGACCGCGAGTTTTCACTTCACCGCAGCTTCAAAATATCTCACTCGCCAACACCATCCTCAGCGAATTATCTCACTCGTTTTCACAGTATTCGCCTGGCATATCACACAATCCTTATAATCCCAGGCGGGCAATCAAACATGGGGAGAAGTCGCAGACCGCCAAACCGCTTCAGTCGACCGGGAAGTCACAATCCAGCTTCTCAGGCGCGGTCAGACAATGCATACGCAAGCCTCGCTGGCGTAAACCAAGATGGTGAGTTCGCCAGTGTCGCACTCTCTATCTCTCTCTCTCTCTCTCACACACACACAAACACACACACAAACACACACACATACACACACACACACGCATACACACACAACATTTCGCTGACTGCAAAGTAGATGGTCAGATGAACGCTCATATCCATGAGCGATTTGGGGATCTCTCCTTCCGTGATGGCGGTGCTCATGTTCCCAATGACAATATTCCTACTTCAGGGCCCTCACGAGCAAACAACGATATCCGCCAGTACTTTGAGCTAGCGAGGAAGCCCGTTGCAGGTGGCGCATGGCTCGACAAACCGGAGATACCAAGCCCTGCAGAAATCATGCCTGAGAGAAAGCATGATTTCAGCACAGGACATCAGAATCTCATCGATATAGATGGTCTTCGTCCGCACAGGGTCAAAGGAGCCTACGAAAGCAACGAAGAGTATCTGTCGACAAAATACGAGCTGATGCGTGAGGACTGTATTAGGGACTTCCGCGAGTGCGTGGAGGAGGTCAGAACTTGTCGATCCTCGTTCACAACGTACTATTGGACTAACGCTCTACATGTAGGTTCGTGTGGATCCTTACAAATTGGAGAGCGAGTATACAAACCAGAGCATTGGGATATATGATCCGGTGTACATCAGGTCTCTAATCTTCTCGCCGCGAGGGCTAGCAACACGCGTCGCCTTCTCCCTCAGTCGAGTGAAAAAGCACGTTCGATGGGATCAATCCAAGAGACTCATCACAGGTACGCTTGTGGCTCTATCGCCCAGCGAGGACGCTTTCCAAAAGATTTGTATTCTTGCTACAGTGGCAGCTAGACCGCTCTCCGCATTGGAAACCAATCCACCAGAAATCGACCTCTTCTTCGCTCGCCCAGAAGATCAGGAGATCGATCCGATGAAAAAGTGGATTATGGTGGAATGTCGCTCTGGCTTTTTCGAGGCCAGTCGGCATACCTTGCTTGCACTTCAGCACATGATGCGAGAACCCTTCCCTTTGTCAGATTATCTTGTTGATGTCAAGAAGGAGGTGGAGCCTCCGGCGTACATTCAACATAACCCTCATATGAACCTGAGCTCCCTTGTCATGATGAAAGATGCTGGCGAGTTCGAAAATGTCAACATCTTAGAGGACTGGCCTGCTTCCTCTTCGCATTCTCTGGACAAGTCTCAGTCTCGAGCGCTTCGGCACATGCTTAGTAGGAGCCTCGCAATCGTCCAAGGTCCACCAGGTACTGGAAAGACTTTCGTAAGCATTACGAACCTCAAGGTGATGCTCGATAATCTACGAAAAGACGACGCCCCTATCATAGTCACAGCTCAAACGAATCATGCTGTTGATCAGATCCTGCGACATGTTATGGAGTTCGAAACCAACTTCATTCGCTTGGGAGGAAGGAGCAAAGACAAAGACATCAAGAAGCGCACTTTGTTTGAGGTTCGCTCTGGAATCCCTCCTCAAAAACAACCGGGCAGTCAGAAAATCCAAGCCACAATCCAGATGAGAAAACTGACCGGCGAATGCCAATTGCTTCTTGCGCCGCTGGAGCTGAAGCAGTCACCACTCGACCATAACGTTCTTCTTCAATTAGGAATTATAACTAAAGATCAAGCGGCATCAATGGAGATGGAATCGCAGTCCACGATGGGAATAAATACAGCCGAAGGTCCTGGAATCTTCATGGAAACTTGGGCAGGACGATACCTCGACTCTTGCACTCGACCAGTCATCCCTGACGACTTTGATTGGGGCGGATATGAGGAGGAAGACTTCGATGAGGTCGAGCAATTGCAAGAGCTTGAAGCAGAAGCGGTTGCACGGGACGACGACGATATCGAGGCCCTGAAAGGCCCAGTGATGTTGCTCAGCGATAACCATACAGGCAAAGGTGATATATTGACTCCTGCCAAAATCAAAACGCTTCTCCAGACAACGAGCGACCTCACCACGATCGAATCACGATACCGCGGCGCAGTTTACAACTACTTCATGCGGGAGGTGAAACGACTTCTCACCATCAGAATCCGTGAGCTCGCTACACGGTACGAACAAGCCGCATTGCAGCGAAAGGTCGGTCTTTGGGAGGAGGATGTTCGCATTTTGCGCGATCAACGCCTGATCGGATGTACTACCACGGGCTTGAGCAAGTACCGTGCTCTACTTTCAGGCCTCCGCCCACGTGTGGTTTTGGTCGAGGAAGCAGCAGAGACCCAGGAAGCGTACGTCACCGCAGCATGCTTTCCGACTCTAGAACATCTTATTTTGGTTGGGGACCATCAACAACTGCGCCCGCATTGCCAGAATCGCGCTTTTGAAGACGCGCCATATTTCCTCAATCTCAGTCTCTTTGAACGCCTTGTTGAAAACGACGTTGACCACGATGCTCTCATGAGGCAACGACGCATGATTCCAGAGATACGACGACTGTTGTACCCTATTTACGGGGACAACCTGAAAGACCATGACAGTGTGAAGGACAGCAGCAATCGCCCACCTGTAGAAGGAATGGGAGGCAACAACTCGTTTTTCTTCTGTCACGACTGGCCTGAAGCCCGGGATGGCAACATGTCCTCGTTAAACTCGAGAGAGGCGAACATGCTTGTTGGTTTGTTTGATTACCTTGTCCTTAACGGTGTCGATTCGAGCACAATCACGGTCCTGACTTTTTACAATGGCCAGCGAAAAGAGATAATCAGGAAGCTCAGAGGACAAGCCAACCTTCGAGCAGTCCCAGGATCGCAAGTCGTTACAGTCGACTCGTACCAAGGAGAAGAGAACGATATCGTTCTGTTATCGCTTGTCCGCAGCAACAAAAACCACAGCATTGGATTTTTGTCTTCCGACAACCGCGCCTGTGTTGCTCTTTCTCGTGCCAAGCGCGGATTCTACATATTCGGCAACGCAGAGCTGTTGGCATGTGAGTCTGGAACGTGGGGCTCCGTGGTTGACATCATGCTTGGTAGCAAGACCAAAGTCAAGGTGAAGGTTGGTCAGAAGCGCCGAGTCGGCTACCACCTTCCCCTTGAGTGCCAGAACCATGGGAACAAGGTTTGGATGGAAGACCCTAGCGACTGGGAGAGCATCAAAGGCGGATGTGACCGTCAATGTGGAGGTCAGCTGCCGTGTGGTCACAAGTGTCCTTATAGGTGCCACCCCTTCGAACACGAGCAAGTTAACTGCATGCAACAATGCTCCAGACACGTAGAATCATGCGGCCATCGCTGTGTTCAGATTTGCTGCGATCCGTGCAGATGCCAGATCTGCGACCGGCGTACCAACGGCATGAAACCTGTGTTGAAGCCTACGCCTAATAGGCCAAAGGGACCTTCCACAAAACACAACCTCTCGTTTGATAATACCTACCAAACGCCTTCAAACCCAGTGGCCTCTTCCATGAGTCACGCAGGATCAGGCAATAGAGCAAGGGAATGGCAGGCCTATACTAATGGGGGAGCACAAGCCGACGATGCCCGAGCGTTGCAGATGAGAAAGGAACAGGAGGCAGAATTCCAAAAGACTATAGCCGATGCTGGGCAAGTTGCTGGCTTTCGTTCCGCATCTGCAGGCGCTTCCTCTACACCTGCCAGACTGGCCGAAGCCTCACCGGCGAATGGAACGGTATCGAGTAACACCCGTTTGTTGATCGATATCGACGAGAATGTGGATACCTTCCCGTTAGCAAACGCTGCCTCGTCGAAAGCCAAAGGAAAGGGCAAGGATGTGTTTGATCTGATGGACTAGCATCCATGAGGTGTTAGGCACATGAACAAGTGGTGGGGAGGTGGTCATCCAGTAAGGTCATGTGGCATGGCGAGCTTTTTCCGGTCTGAGCATGATGGCTATGGCTTTGGTAACGGAGGTGGGTGTTTACACGGTTCGTACGACGTTCGAGCTTCTCATGTAGATTATCACGATCGTGTGTCAGACAAGAGTAGATACGTACATCCGTAAAGAATTCCTCGAGATTAAACATTAAGTGTCTGGGTATCACAAGTTCCAAATTGTCATCCTTTCCTCTGCCCATCAGCCTCAGTCCTGCCTATCCCCATCAACAGCAACCTCAAACACCTCAGCCGCCAACTTAGCAACATCGCCTCCAAGCCCAGCCAGCCCAGCTTTAATGCTCTCCACCGTCTCGGGCCTCAACGTCCCCTTCCTCGAATAAAAATCCACCCCCGCAGGCGTAAACAGCGTCTTCGCAAAATACGTAACGACCCAACTATTCCCGCCCCCCTCCTCATCCCCATACCCCAAAATCTCCCACTTCGACGACGCAATCATCAGCCAGCCTTTCCCGCGCCAATTATACGCCATACTCGACGACATCTCGGCACCCTCTTCCGCCGGGGCCGCCGCCGTGTTCGGCACATCGAACGGCTTGTCTACGCCGTGCACTGATTTCAGGGCCGTGGACGTCAGGGATTGGTAGGTTACGAGGTCGTCGAGCTGTAACGGGGAGGTGTTGGGCACGGGCGTGTATTCGATGCGCACGTTGCGCGATTTCTTCCACATGGGCAGGGTGGAGTGGGTTACGTTCCAGGAGCCGCGGAGCCAGGAGAGGGTCGGCGCGGGGATGGAGGGGGAGGGTGTTGTTGCGGGGAGGGAGGAGGGGGCGCGGAGGGTTGCCATTGTGTTGTGGTTGTTCTGGGATGATTGGTGCGAACAAGGGGGGTTCGGGGGTTTTGCGGAGCGGAGAATAGGAATAGAGTGGTGACGCGGAATGGGTGGGTATGGAGGCTGAACGGGAGATGGGTGGTATGTATGGGGGGCTTGACGGGTGGCTGGGGGGGTTTTGTGGAAGATCAGCAGCTCGTGCGTTGTTGATTTGGGCGCGATGCGTTGCGATGCGATGGGTTTGCAGGAGCTTGGACGCGGACAACAGCGACCTCGTGTTTACCACGGAGATTTGGTGTGATGGCAGTGTTGTACAGGGTTGTCTTTGGTTGTCACCAGGAAGACTGCAGTAATTAAAAAAGGTTGTCGTACACGTTGTAAGGCTGAGCGATTCGTGATCTGCAGCCGCGTGGTCGCCGCTCCAAAAACAGCAACACGCCTCGAGTCAAGGGTCCATCAAAACACGACCTTCGCCCACTACTCAAACCCCAACAACGACCTCCACTCGCCCTCTTTCTCGCTGCAAAGACAGAAAACGCGGACAGTATAGAATCTGGACCTCCCTCGCTGTGTCAAGGCATTGACACGCCTGTCTCAGATGCGTGTATGATGTGTCCGGACGTCCGGGCTTACGACGCGTGAAACTCTTTCGCGGCTCTGGGGGCTGTGCATGTGTCGCTGAAATCTGATGGCGGCTCCACCCCCAGCCGTTAGAGTGGAGTGGGTACCGTATAAACTTGGTTAATCCGTTATATGCTAGACAGGGGTAAATTAGGCTAAATTATAAGCAATCTAATATAAAAGTATACTAAGCTGTACTGCTATATAGTTAATATTAGATTCTATTAGAATTAGTTTCTATTTTATATACTAAAAATCTTCTATTATCTCTAAACAGCTTTATTACTAACTATTTATAATTATTTACTATAATATATATACCTTTTATTAAGCTAGACCTTAATACTCTCTAAGCTTTAAGTTCCTAAGTAAAGAAGCTAAGCCTAGTAGTAAAACTCTAGTAAAGCTAAACTTTAAGTACTAGGCTATATAAACTTCTACCTCTAAAAGTTTATAACTATAATAAAGTTTCTTTATAAAAAAAGTACTAACTAATTATATATTTCTTCTACTATTAGATTTAAGAAGAAGAAGTCTTTAGTAGTACCTAATAAAAGTATAAATACCTTATAAGCCTTAAATAGAATAGTATATAAAGACCTTTAATAGTTATAAAAGCTTCTAAATACTTTAAGATACCTATAGCTATATACTAAAATATATAGATAAAAAGGTACTAGCTAGTAAGCCTTATTTATAGGTAACTGTAGTTAGTATTAGTAGTAAGAATAGTAAAGTAGGCTAACTTAAAGCTTAAACTATTTAGGCAGTTTATAAAGTAGTAAAAGATAAGATAGAAAGTTTTAAAGTTCTAGTTTTAGTAATAAGTAAAAATATTATTTAAAATACTTTATAGTAATAAGCTTAGATCTAATAGTAAAGTTAGTACTACTTAATACTACTAGTTAAAATATATATATAAAGAGTAGAAGCTTACTATAAGTAAAGATTAGAGTTTAAGCTATTAAATAGATAGTTCTATAACTTCTACTAAAAATAAAATATATTCTAGAGATACTTTACTTACTAGTCTTAAAAACTTCCTTTTAAGTATATTAAGTTAATAAACTAGTTCCTATAATTTATTAAAAGAAACTTTAGTAACTTATTTACTAACGTATTAATAAAGAAAAGCCCTCTACTAAGAATAAACCTAATAGGTACCTAGATAACTAATAAAGAAAGTAGTAATTAATTTATAAGTTTTAATATCTTAAATATAAATAAAGTACTAATTCTTTTTAAGTTTTTTAATAAGTATACTGTAAACAGGTAATTAAGATATAGGATAAATAGGTGTTTATTAAGAGATTAGACAAATCCTTAGGGTGTAAGCCCTAGAGATTTGTAAGTACTATATACTAGAGCTCTAAGGACCTTACGCCCTCAGCCTGGAGGTCTACTAAAGGTAGGCTAACAGGAGCTTAGATAGAAATACCCGTAACAGAGCTCCCCCCCTTCTTATAGTTTGTCCTGAACCGCTAGAATTTTTGGAGTAGATAAACAGGTATTTAATTTATATAGTTACCTTAATTAAACTCTGTAAAAACCTCCTATAGAGAGAAAATAGTTTAGGAGAAATTTAGTACTAAATCGTTTAAGTTTTCCCTAGGCTGGTTCTTAGATCCAGCCTGGGGGCCTACCGTACTAGGCCTACGTCCTTATTACTAAGTCTTTGTAACTTTAGTAAGCGTGGCCTAGTTTGTTATAGGTAACTACTAGGCCTCTATAGAGGGTTCTATTTGCTGTTATCCCTGGATTGTAATTCTTAGGGGTATAGTTGTACTTGCTGCGCATTATTATTAGTAACTTTGCGTTTGCGAGTTTTGCCTTATTAGGCGCCTATTAACTATACAGATAGTTTATTAGACTCTATTACTTCCCTAGCCCCGTTCTAGAGGCTTTATAATACGTAATTATGTAAAGTAAGGGCTTAATATAGAGTTTACTTGTAATAATTTATTATTTACTTGCTCTATTATTATAGTTAGTATTTACGCCAACTTACGCAATTGTTTACAGGCTGGCATTATCCTTATAAGGTATATTACTAGTAGCCTCCTTAGAGGTTTATTCTGTGCAGGCAGCGCTTACTTTAATATTAGTGCCTATTACACTTCCCGCAGGGTTTATAACTATAGTTCCCCTATAGGGGTCTATTAGCTCTCTATAAGTAGTCTACTAGGTATAGTCCTAGTGTCTTAGGCAGCGTTTATTATTTATTTATATTATAATAACTTTTTACAGTTATTAGTGTACGTAAAGTAAGGTAAAGTAGTATAGTATTACAGCAGTTCTAGAGGGCCTGCGTACGCGTACTGGATAGGTATAAAATGCCTATATATTGCCTTACAACTCTAATATTACTATAATAACCTTCTTCTTATTAACTTACTATGCTTCTGCCTTCCTATATTAGTAATACGCCTCTGCCTAAGCAGATCTACTAGCTCCCTACTAGTATAGCCCCTTAGCCTACCCTTACTTACTTCTAGTGTATAGGCTACGTTAACTTTCTTACTACTACCTCCTAAAAGCGCCTTCTCAACAGCACTGTTATATTATTTTTTGAGCTATAGTAGGGTAATAAGCTGTACTGTAAATATAAGGCTAGTTAGGGTATCTACAGCAGTTATTCTAATACTAAGACTAGAGGTTATACTAAGGTAAGTTTCCTATTCTATTCTATCTATACCTTGTCTATTACTAACCCTAATAGATCCTGCCTAAGTTCTGTTACGCTGTTAATATCCTTAACTACTACCTTAAGTACGCCTTACGCAAGACTTAGGAGTTTACTAGCTTTATATCTACTACTAACTCTAATACACTCTTTGCAGATAACTAGGTATAGGCTAACTGGGTAAATACTTACGCCTACGCTAAGGCTTATTATAAGAGTTTCCTTAAGTATAATTATGCTAAGCGCTGCACTATTACTAATAGCAGTCTCTCTGCCGCAGCTTTTAGTTAGGCTTATTAAGTTTCTACTTAGCACAACTTGGAGTAATATAAGGTTAGTCTACTATTATTTTAGTATCTTCCTATTACTAATCTATTCTAGTTAGGTCTTAGTACTACTGGCCTGCGTTGTCCTAATAATATTATTATTTACGCTCCTATAAAGGCTTACTTTCTACGTAATAGCGCTTCTAAGAATATTAACTAGCGCTTTTACTACTACAGCACTAATATTCCTAACACTAAGGAGGAGGAGATCCTATTCTTACTATTACCCCAGAAGTATCTTTATTTAGTAGCTCCCTATACTCCTAGTTAGAAGGTAGCTGGTAGTGCTTCTAGGAAGGCTCCTACTACTAGCTCCTCTAGTTCTCTAACAGCTAAGCATAACCCTAGCAGCGTTAGTTCTAACCCTATAGCGTTCTAATAGGTAACTATAAAGGTTCCCTTAGTAGATATATATTTTAGTTCCTTTAGATAGTATAAGGAATAATAATTATAATTTTCTATCTTTACTAAGGCCTATATTATTCTATACTAGTTCGTGATTTTAGTTTTAGAGGTAATTACTGTACTATAGCTCTAGCTTCCTTTCCCTCCTTCCTTTTAGACGTTCTTCCTAGAATATCCTTGTTTCCGCCTTAGCAGATTATTAACTTCTAGATCTAGTAGGGCCTCTGCCTTCTACCTGCGTCCCTTGGGCAGCCTGTAGGCACCCTAAGACGTATCTTATAGGTTTACTAGATAGTCTTAGAGGATCTTATTATAGTAATTAAGATTCTTAAGTAGTTCCTAGGTAGTATCCTTATTAGACTAACCTAGCTACTTTACCCTATACTCCTGCCCTTAGGCAGCAGTGTTACAGTGTTCTATAATTCCTTTAACCTTATACCTGTCTTTAGGTAGGGTATCCTTTAGAAGTTATATAGGCCCTAGCCAGAAGCCCTTCTTAGTAAGGGGTTCCTACTATAGTTTAAGTAATAATATATTAAATACTAGATATATACGCTCTATAGAGGGTAGCAGTGCTAGTTTATAGGCTAATTTCCTAATACGCTTTACAATTGTAAAGGGCCTAAGGTACCTAGTATTAAATTTCTTTAAAGGCTGCCTAGTAGTAATATTTTTTACTTAGAGGAGTACCTGCTTACCTTTAGTATAGTATTTCTTAGAGCGCTTAGTATTATACTATTTTGTTATACCCTTCTAGGCGTACTTAAGGCTCTGCTTTACCCCTTCCTATATTTCTTACTATTAAGTAAGTCTTCTAGTAACTTACTGGTAGAGCTCTGGCGCCTTTGCATCCTTATCCTAGACTTTAGAAGGTTGCCTTAACTAGTACTTATCTAGGATTCTATTAAAGCCTTTTAGGTTTAGCCTAAATACTACCTTAATAGGGTATTCTCTATATATAGAGTACGCTTTAGAGTTAT